CAGACTGCAAACTTCTGAAATGCAAAAAAGATGTCTTTCTTGCACGCACACCCACCCACCATATATTTAAAGCATGCCTGCCATTTCTGATCTTCTTGTCAGTAACCCCTTAGGAACTTCAAACAAACAAACAAACAAACAAACAAACCACACCTCCTTGGCTGGCAGTTTAAGAAAAGCCAGGAGGTTGGGAGATGATCACTTACAATCTGGGGTGCAAATCTAACTTGATAAGAAGGTTGGCATTTGGGACAATCACAGAAGGCTCCCAATGCCTGTTTAAGTGCTTAAGAAAAGCATGCAATTTTGCAAACTGGATATTATCAGCTTTATTGCCGGCGTATGGTAGAGCATTTGATTTACACCTGAATAAACAAGCCTTTGGGGCAGAAAAAAAAGAAGGTTGGCATCCATCTGCCTTCAGAAACAATAATCTCCAGGGGTGAAGTCAAACCACTGGGCAGGCCCCACCAATTACATGACCAAAGCAACCCATTATGTAAAGCTGTGACTCCTCTCTCAGTGCCATAATTCAGCACTATGCACGCAGGCCAAACGTGAAATGACAAGCAAGTCATTCTATTTCGGGGGGCGGGGGAGGGACCTCTGTCTTTGCAGATGTTGCTGGACTCCAACTCTCATCTGCCCCAGTCAGCGTGGACAGTTGAATAGTGTGTTTCTATAGATATGTAAAATGCTTCAATTAAAAGCTATGTTCAAAAAGTTAAATTTATAAGTATTTATATGATTTTCTATTAAACTAACACACATAACAGGTTAGAATGCTGAGACTCAAAGATAATAAGAACTAGGTAGCCTGGGTAAATAAATAGGTAGGCCAAGACCCCTCCTGACCATCCTTAAAATGAGTTCTGTTGGTTTTGATGGCTGGTGGCTGCTATATTCTGGATGCATAATATCTGCTTTGTGGAGGACCCAGAGATAAATAGTTTGGGCACTGGGACAGTCACCCACACCATAAATTTAAAGAACATTTATATACAAAAGAGAGCAACCAAGATGATAAAGCATCTGAAAACCAAGCCTTATGAAGAATGGTTATGAACTTAGGTATTCTTAGCCTGTAGAAGAGAAGTCCAAGAGGTGATATGACAGCCATCAGAAGGGCTGTCACATGGAAGATGGAGCAAGTTTGCATGGATTGTGAACCAATGGATTCAAATAACAATAAAGGAGATTCTGACTAAACATGAGGAAGAACTTCCTGGCATAAGAGCCATTCAACTGTGGAATGGAGTACCTGGGAAGGTAGTGGACTCTCCTTCTTTAGACGTTTTTGGACAGAGGTTGGATGGCCATCTGTCAGGGATTCTTGAGCTGGGATTCCTGTATTGTGGGGGGTTGGACAAGAAGTTTCTATGATTTATCCCAAACAGTCATGGCATCCCCCGAAGAATCTTGGGATACTGTAGTTTACCTCTCACAGAGCTATAATTTCTAGCATCATTTAAACTACAGTTTGTTGTAAATAAAAATCTGCCCTTTTTTCCCTTATGGGGTATCCAAGAGCCCATATAGAGTCCTTACATAGGTTCCCTATTGGTAGGAGAAGATAACAGAGGCCAACCAGAGAATATTGAGAAGCAAAGCAGCTAGTAAGCTTGATCTGTATTGATCTGTTGCAACAGGGTGCTCCCCTCACTCGCAGGAAAGGAGGAGGACCCAGAAAAATGGTGTGCAAGGCCTTATAAAGACTTTTGAAATTGCCCTCCTGTAGATCAAGACCACCCCCAGAAACATCATACATACATCACAGAAGGGGTGTAACCTAAGACCACCCCTCAGATACATCCCACCTACATCACAGAAATTTTAATATTGTTTTTCTCCTGTTGTTGTTTATCTCCTGTCTAGCAGGTTACTTCATTGGATTTCCTGAGTAGCCTGGCCAGTCTTTTGTAATGATATATACTTAGTTCCTGGCCAGGTCACAGGCTCACATCCTATTCAAACAGATATATCCTTAAGACAGGATTTGTGAGGAAAGAGACAATGGGGAGGTTTTTCCAGTTTGACCTTGCAGAGAAAACATTTGCTCAGTTTAGGAATCAAAATGGTTCCAGGTTGGCCTTCCTGTGCTGATCTATGTATGTGCTTGGTTGGTACACTTGTGAACATTATCATAATGGTAAAATGCGGTCTTGACTATGCTACCACTCAGTGGATTTGTAACTGGCTGACTGACCGAACCCAAAGGGTGCTCATCAATGGTTCCTCTTCATCCTGGAGAAGAGTGACTAGTGGGGTGCCACAGGGTTCTGTCTTGGGCCCGGTCTTATTCAACATCTTTATCAACGACTTGGATGATGGACTCAAGGGCATCCTGATCAAATTTGCAGATGACACCAAACTGGGAGGGGTGGCTAACACCCCAGAGGACAGGATCACACTTCAAAACGACCTTGACAGATTAGAGAACTGGGCCAAAACAAACAAGATGAATTTTAACAGGGAGAAATGTAAAGTATTGCACTTGGGCAAAAAAAATGAGAGGCACAAATACAAGATGGGTGACACCTGGCTTGAGAGCAGTACATGTGAAAGGATCTAGGAGTCTTGGTTGACCACAAACTTGACATGAGCCAACAGTGTGACGCAGCAGCTAAAAAAGCCAATGCAATTCTGGGCCTGCATCAATAGGAGTATAGCATCTAGATCAAGGGAAGTAATAGTGCCACTGTATTCTGCTCTGGTCAGACCTCACCTGGAGTACTGTGTCCAGTTCTGGGCACCACAGTTCAAGAAGGACACTGACAAACTGGAACGTGTCCAGAGGAGGGCAACCAAAATGGTCAAAGGCCTGGAAACGATGCCTTATGAGGAACGGCTAAGGGAGCTGGGCATGTTTAGCCTGGAGAAGAGGAGGTTAAGGGGTGATATGATAGCCATGTTCAAATATATAAAAGGATGTCACATAGAGGAGGGAGAAAGGTTGTTTTCTGCTACTCCAGAGAAGCGGACACGGAGCAATGGATCCAAACTACAAGAAAGAAGATTCCACCTAAACATTAGGAAGAACTTCCTGACAGTAAGAGCTGTTTGACAGTGGAATTTGCTGCCAAGGAGTGTGGTGGAGTCTCCTTCTTTGGAGGTCTTTAAGCAGAGGCTTGACAACCATATGTCAGGAGTGCTCTGATGGTGTTTCCTGCTTGGCAGGGGGTTGGACTCGATGGCCCTTGTGGTCTCTTCCAACTCTATGATTCTATGATTCTATATATCTAAGACCATAAAATTCCTATTACAAGTTCTCCTCATTATTTGGCAAAATGTGCTTTAAATGTATGGCGTGGATATGACTGTAGCTAGTGAAGGAGACAAAAGTCTTGAGTTTTCGCAGGTGGGACGTGGTGTTAGCATTTGGGGAAACTGGTGCTCAGACCGAGACCCAAACCTGTATTTGTAAATGAGCAAATGTCAAAAACATGGTGAGAGTCTTACGCCACCTTAAAGACTAAACTGTTTGTATGTTTACTATAACAAGCCAACATGGCTAGAATTTGTCAACAGGAAAACAGTTTCAAAACCAGACGTGTGTGAAGCTCAGTTAGTCTCAGAAGTATTTTGGGTTTTTGTTGCAACTTTGGAAGGTTGCATCTGATTTGTTAATATAGCCCTGGCCTCCAATTCACAGAGGCTCCAAAGGGAAGTCCCATGAGCTACAATGAGAACAATACAACCAGCCATGTGAACTTTCCTTTGGCCAGCCCTCAATCCAATCAAACAGCTGTTGCTGGGGCTGCTGCTGATCCTGTTTTTCAGCTTATTGGTGGCTTAGTCAGCTGTTCAGGCAGCTACTTCCTTTTGGGCATAAACAAAAAGGAGGCCAGAGGAAATGGCTCCTGCATGAATAAGAGGAGGAGTAGATTCTGGATCCAGACTCCGTTCTTTGTGTCTGAGTCTTACACATGTGCAGCAACATGAAATGGTTGAAATCGGAGCCCCACATTTTCAAGAGATAGAAGATCCTTCTAGGATCAGAACAGAGGCCCATCTAGTCCAGCATCCTGTTTTCATAGCAGCCAACGCCAACCTAAGCACAGAAGCAGGGGATGAACACAACAGCGTTCCCTGTTTGTGACTTGCAACAAATTATATTGAAAGGCGCACTGCCTCCAATAGCGGAAGCAGTCCATAGGTGTTGTGGCTGGAAGCTTTCAATAGCCTTACAGGTAAAGGTAAAGTGACCCCTGACCATCAGGTCCAGTCGTGACCGACTCTGGGGTTGCGGCGCTCATCTCGCTTTATTGGCCGAGGGAGCTGGCGTACAGCTTCCGGGTCATGTGGCCAGCATTACTAAGCCGCTTCTGGCGAACCAGAGCAGCACACAGAAACACCGTTTACCTTCCCACTGGAGCGGTACCTATTTATCTACTTGCACTTTGACGTGCTTTCGAACTGCTAGGTTGGTAGGAGCAGGGACCAAGCAACGGGAGCTCACCCCGTCGCGGGGATTCGAACCACCGACCTTCTGATCGGCAAGTCCTAGGCTCTGTGGTTTAGACCACAGGGCCACCCGTGTCAATAGCCTTATCCTCCATTAATACGTCTAATCCTCTTGCAAAGTCATCCAAATTGGTGGCAATCGCTGCATCTTATGGAGTCAAATTCTGCAGTTTGAACTGTGCACTGTGTTTCTGTCCTCAATCTTCCTCCGACATTCAGCTTCCATCGGCTGGCCCTGAGAGTGGGAGAGAAACTTATCTCTGTCACTCAAATTACAAACAAGAAAATTAGCTTTTGAATGCCTGTTCCTGCAACTAGAAATGTAGGGTGCCAGGGACATAAAAACATAAGGAAGAACCCTGCGGCTTAAACCAAATGCCAATCTAGTTAAGCACACTGTTTCCAGAGTGGTCCAAGTCACCTATGGGAAGCCCACAATCAGGAGAAGAGCATAACGATATTTTGCTGTTTGTCATCCCGAGGGAGAAAGACTACTGGACTCAGCCTTTAGACAGTTGTGCTGGTTTTTTGTTGGCATGGAGTTTTTACAGAAGGGGAGAATTCAAAAACATGATCTCAACCCACATTCTGGAGTGGATAAGTCCATTCTGAGGCAAGTGAGGATCCTCAGTAGGCATAATGAGTTGGTGGTAGGATTCAGGACTGTATCACTTGAGACTGCAGGTAGAGGTCCTATTTTTTAAAGTTCTCCCATGGGAGAAAAAGAAGAGCACTGTGCATAAAAAAGCTAGCACATGGGTAGGCAAACTAAGGCCCAGGAGCCGGATCTGGCCCAATCACCTTCTAAATCCAGCCCACGGATTTAGAATGCATCTCTGGGTTATCTTTGGGGCATAGGAATTTGTTCACCCCCCCCCAAGATATAGTCCGGCCCCCCACAGGGTCTGAGGGACAGTGGACCGGCCCCCTGCTGGAAAAGTTTGCTGACCCCTGAGCTAGCACATCAGGACGAGAGGGCTGTGCTGAGCTAAATTTCTCACTTTGGTTTGGCTGGTCTACATGCAGACTTGCTTGTTTTTCCATCTCTCTCAAGTGTGTTAAAAAAACATCTGCACCTTCAGCCTGAAAGCTGCTATTGTAAGAGAGTGCAAACATCTTTCTTAAATATAAATTTACTTCTGTTAAGCAACTCCCCCCTGCTAAGCGTTGTGCATATATTTCATGTTGCTGACTAAGCCACCAATAAGCTGAAAACAGGATCAGCAGCAGCCCCAGCAACAGCTGTTTGATTGGACTGAGGGCTGGCCAAAGGAAAGTTCACATGGCTGGTTGTATTGTTCTCTTTGTAGCCTAACACTCATTGCATGAAAGGAAAAAGGAACTGGGAAGGAGGAGGAAAAGCAAAGCACTGGAGCAAGTGACAGATGGATGAGGGCCTTCACTTGGATTATGGTGGAAGCCAGATTTGTCTCAACCCTTGCTATGGTTTTTCTGGGGGGAGAGGAGGTGCAGCAGAGTACGATAGTTGTGTGAACCTATATTCGCAACTGTGACTGGAGAAAGAAATTAATTTTGAACTTTGCGTTGGAAGCGGGGGAGAGAGAGAGAGAGAGAGATGTCCCCTCAACTACGTACTCCCTCCTTCCTCTCTCCCTTTTCCTTGAGGGACGATGGAGATGGTGGAGAGGCCCGTCTTTCCCGTGTCTTTTTTCCTCCACCACAAACCTGCAAGGAAGGTTGGGCTGAGGCCATGGGCCTAGGGGGGGGGGAGGGCATGGCTGAGGGATGAATTATTTGGCCCAACCTTGCCCCTCCAGACTCTTGTGCTACTGACATTCAGGCATAAGTTTATGTATATAGTTTTAATTTTATCAGTGTTTAATTGTGTAGTTTTTTAAATGAACTGGTTTTTCTGTTTTTGGCAGTTGTTTTTTTAATCTGTAAGTTGCCTTGAGTCCCGTCAGGGGAAAAGGCAGGGTATAAATAAATATGTAATAACAAAAACAATATTATTATATACAGTATTTATTGCAAACCATTCCAGGCTTGCGAAAATAACCCCCTCCGGGTTTTTGCCTCAGCTCCTTCCTCACACATTGTTTTCTTTGCCCCTCCCCCAACCGCCAATAACAACTTATCGCAGCTGAGGCAGTTTTATCCTTCCGCGTTGCCAGTAAAAAAAAACACCTCGAAAAAGGCGGGGTCAAAGCTCCTGACGTCACCTCTGTTGCTTTCCCCCTTCTCAGCATACGGTTTGACAGCGCACGCGCGGGGCGGAAAAATAGTCCTTCTTACGTCAGCTGGCTGGTGGTTTTTTTTTCTTTTGGCGGAGTGATCTTATTGTTCAGCGAAAAACCTATATAAAAGGAGGTCGCGGGCAGCTGCGCAGTTAGAACAAATCGCCTCTCCTCGCCTGGAATTTGCTGTCTGCTTGGACCGGCTCGAGCTCTGCGGTGAGATATTTTTCGTTGGGAAATAGGGCTTATTTCTCTCCTTTTTCCTCTGCCGCTTGGCTTCTTCGTTAAAGCTACCTTCAGGCTAGGAGGAAGGGCTGTTTTCTGAAGGGTGTTTGGGCTCGTGAGGGATACTTTGGAGCGGCTGAGGGGGCGAAAGCGGAGGGAGAGGGCGTGGTTTGGCGGGGCGGGAAGGGAATCCATTTGAGTTGGTACTTGAGGGGTCATCAGCCTTTAAGTGACGGGGTACAATATACTCCTCAAGAGTTGCTGTCATTTCGACGTGTACGCATGCCAGTTCGGGTACGAATTGGCCAAAAAAGCCTAAAGGCGCCGCCGTCCAAAATGGCCGCCTCGAGGAAGAGACGACAAACAACACGGCGAAGGCCGTTAACGCCCCTGCGCTTGTGACGCAGCCAGGCACTGTGACGTCACGTGGCCAGGCGCCGGCTAGGGGTGCGCGCGCATCCTTGCTCTCTTTCTGCCTTGTTGGTCCGAAGGGGGCGGAGCTCGTTGCCTTAGGCAAGCGGAGTTGGTATTGTTTAGTCAGTGGGTTGATTGCTGGCTTGTTTTAAGTCGGGGCATCTTAAATGAAGTGAGACTTTTTCCAAATCTGAATTGTGCTGCTTCTCTCCCCCCCCCCCCCGCAGAGAAAATGCAGATCTTTGTGAAGACCTTGACGGGCAAGACCATCACCTTGGAGGTGGAGCCAAGTGACACCATTGAGAACGTCAAGGCCAAGATTCAGGACAAAGAAGGCATTCCCCCTGACCAGCAGAGGCTGATCTTTGCTGGCAAGCAGCTGGAAGATGGCCGCACCCTGTCTGACTACAACATCCAGAAGGAATCCACCCTCCACCTTGTGCTGCGCCTGAGGGGGGCATGCAGATCTTTGTGAAGACCTTGACGGGCAAGACCATCACCTTGGAGGTGGAGCCAAGTGACACCATTGAGAACGTCAAGGCCAAGATTCAGGACAAAGAAGGCATTCCCCCTGACCAGCAGAGGCTGATCTTTGCTGGCAAGCAGCTGGAAGATGGCCGCACCCTGTCTGACTACAACATCCAGAAGGAATCCACCCTCCACCTTGTGCTGCGCCTGAGGGGAGGCATGCAGATCTTTGTGAAGACCTTGACGGGCAAGACCATCACCTTGGAGGTGGAGCCAAGTGACACCATTGAGAACGTCAAGGCCAAGATTCAGGACAAAGAAGGCATTCCCCCTGACCAGCAGAGGCTGATCTTTGCTGGCAAGCAGCTGGAAGATGGCCGCACCCTGTCTGACTACAACATCCAGAAGGAATCCACCCTCCACCTTGTGCTGCGCCTGAGGGAGGCATGCAGATCTTTGTGAAGACCTTGACGGGCAAGACCATCACCTTGGAGGTGGAGCCAAGTGACACCATTGAGAACGTCAAGGCCAAGATTCAGGACAAAGAAGGCATTCCCCCTGACCAGCAGAGGCTGATCTTTGCTGGCAAGCAGCTGGAAGATGGCCGCACCCTGTCTGACTACAACATCCAGAAGGAATCCACCCTCCACCTTGTGCTGCGCCTGAGGGGAGGCATGCAGATCTTTGTGAAGACCTTGACGGGCAAGACCATCACCTTGGAGGTGGAGCCAAGTGACACCATTGAGAACGTCAAGGCCAAGATTCAGGACAAAGAAGGCATTCCCCCTGACCAGCAGAGGCTGATCTTTGCTGGCAAGCAGCTGGAAGACGGCCGCACCCTGTCTGACTACAACATCCAGAAGGAGTCCACCTTGCACCTGGTTCTACGTTTAAGGGGTGGCATTTAAACTTGCTACTTGCAACCACCCAAGTAAACCTCACTGCACTTTGTTTCATTAAAGCTGTTGCATTCCCAAATGTACTTGTTTCATCATTTTAGGTGGTTGGTGATTTAGCATCAGTATGTGTTGGGGGAGGATTGTGCTGAATATTCCATTGAACAATATCTAGCAAATACTTGGCAGGGGGCATAATTGTTTGACTATCATGTAGACAAACTTTAACTTACATAACTGCCTTAAGCCAGAAGCTAAGGCTGCCTCAGCAAATGAGATTGCATTGCTGAAGTCATACATACAAGCATTAAGAGTTCAGTAATGACTGAAAGATGAGAGGAGCACTGCTTATGTGGAGTGGTTTTATTTCAGCCAAACTGGAGAACTGTTAACCGGTAAATTGAATTTGAGAGTCAGTGCTATTGAAGCAGACAGTGGTTCTTGGGACTTAACAGCTATCGGCTCCTATGGTGGGATTGCAAATAGCTGGTGTAAACTGGGAAGCAATTGGAGTCAATCCCTTTTTAAATTACAGTTGTGGTTAGTTCATCTCTAACCCTGCCTCAATGGAAGTAAATTGGAAGCTGGCCTTTGGGGAAATGCCCCAAACTTGTGTTTCAGTCTATTTAATAAACAGCAGTGACACTAAATAGGTTTTTCCTCCACTTAGCTGAAAGGTTCAGCTCAACTACCTTAAATTGCAATCTTGAGGCACTAGCTCAAACCTTCCAGTTGGTAGGTTCTCATGCCCTTGTTCGTCACCTGTGCACTACATAGGTCTCTAATCCATTTAGCTAACTTCTATGAGCTTAATAGTGCAGTAAAGTAAGCTAATCCAGGAAAGCTGGTTCGTATGCCTGTCTAGGAACTCTATAAAATGGCTCCAAGGAGGCACAGAAACTGAAAGCTGAATATGGTGCCTTATGATCCAAAGCAAGACAATTTGGGCTTGGAAATAATACCAGGTGAAATGTTAGAAGCTCTCAAGTTGACAAGTTTTTATTGGTTTGGAGTCTCTAAGCCACTTGGGTAGCAGGGGGGGAAACTATCCAAAGCAAGTTTGCTTACCACTATTACACTATTTTCAAATACTTTTTCTTGGATATCTGGATATACTTGTTATAACTGATTCTCTGCAGCTTTCCTGACTGAGCATATAGAAGTGTCAGGATGCAGTAGAGGTCTTGCTATCGGAACTCTGACAAATCGTAAGTTACCTATGGTCATTGTAGAGTTTTCCTGCAGTTGTCCCACCCAGGAGCTCTTGCTACAGTCAGAATTGTAGAGTTGGAAGGGATCCCAGGATCATTCTAGTCCAGTGCAGGAATCTCAACTAACTAGATCATACATGACAGATGGCCATCCAATCGATAAGTTCTTACTGAAATTTAGTCAGAATCTCCTGAACCACAGACCTCAACATTTGATACCTCGTGAGCAGTCCAAATTTTGTTCCTGGCCTGAAATACTGAATACAGCAATGAAAATCATTTGCCTTGCATTTGGCTCTGTGTGTTTAGGTGCTAACGTCTCACAGGTCAATTCTTTCCTGTGCTGGAAAATAGCTCTTTGGTAATGTGGGCTGTTGAGCTCTAATACGGTTTGACACTAATCTGCAGGTAAAACCTTTTAACAAGCGTCGTTGTGTTAAGCATACATTCAATGGTGTAAAGGTAAAGGGGACCCCTGACCATTAGGTCCAGTCGTGGCTGACTCGGGTTGCGGTGCTCATCTCGCTTTATTGGCCGAGGGAGCCCGCGTACAGCTTCCGGGTCATGGGGCCAGCATGACTAAGCCGCTTCTGGCAAACCAGAGCAGCACACAGAAACACCGTTTACTTTCCCACCGGAGTGGTACCTATTTATCTATTTGCACTTTGACGTGCTTTAGAACTGCTAGGTTGGCAGGAGCAGGGACTGAGCAACGGGAGCTCACCCCGTCGCGGGGATTCAAACTGCCGACCTTCTGATCGGCAAGCCCTAGGCTCTGGTTTAACACACAGTGCCACCCGCATCCCTCTATTCAATGGTGTACAGCTCCATTAAAACACTATACAAAGTGGCTTACAACAACAAAATCAGAAAAAAATACTTTAAAGGGGATCCTGGTTGGTCCAATGTCTCCCAGGGAGCTTTATGTGGAGGGAGGAATTGAACCCTGGTATCCCTGGCCCTATTCCAAGCACAACACTAATCAGTGGAGGAGTTAATGCACCAATCGCACAATATTTGAGACTTGCTTAAGATGGCAGCAACAGCTTGCAGAAAGTGCCAAAAGAGTGAGGTAATGGGTATGTTAGGATCCTTGACTGACTGGCCTGTGTTCTTGATTCCTCTGGCTTGCAACACAAGGTCGCTTGTCAGAGGCCACCTATAGTTTAGCAGCTTAAAGTTACTGCTAAGCCCTTTTTTACTGCAAATCTCCCATGAATCTACCAATGGATAATATGGCTGTGATAAGGCTCTTTCAAGCTTTATATGTCAATCATAGTATCATGTGAGCTTGAAACCTTTAGACATTGTAGCCAGTCAAGTGAATGAAATCTTAACCAGTAATGGTGGTAGCTGAGTTAATTTGTGCTATCAAAAGGACCAGTGAAATAATGTGTTGCTTAACAGGCTCAAGGGTAAACTGCATTTAAGAGATAAAAGTGATAATAGCCCCTGGAACATCATAAAAGGTAACCAAGATGTTACTAGCTTTGCAAGCTACATTAAGATGACCCAGAAAGTTCAGCTGATGTAAAGGAAGCCAATTCCCTCTTGATTATATTAGGAGTTCTACAAACACTGTGTTACAGTTGCTCAATTCAAGGTGCTGGTTTTAACACTAAAGCAGGCATAGGCAAACTCTGCTCCAGATGGTTTGGGGCTACAACTCCCATGACCTCTGACCACTGGTCTTGCTAGCTAGGGATGATGGGAATTGTAGTCCCAAAACATCTGGAGGGCCGAGTTTGCCTATGTCTGCTCTAACGCCTTTTGTGGCCTGTGACTAGGATCGAGAGCTAAAGCCCTCCAAATTTAGAAACACTTCATTTGATTCCATTTATAAATACCTTAAAAGTGATTTAAAATATAATAAAAAAGTAATAACATTTTCAAACGTAATAAGGATAACATTTGGATAGCCAATTAAAAGGCTTGTTGAAATTTTATTAAATACGTATACTGCCCTCCATATATCACAACATAAAAATACAAAATGAGAATACATAATACATAATACATAATAAATAAAAACAAATCAATCCCCCTCCCACAAAGACATTTGAAAGGCCACAGAATGTTAAATCAGCCAAAGGCTTGGTTACAGATAAATGTTTTCACTTGATACTGAAGATATGTAACCAAGGTGCCAAGCAAGCCTTCCTAGGGAGTTCATTCCACAAACAGATCTACTGCAGGAAGGGCCCCTTCTTGCATTGCCACCTTCCAGACCTTTTGTGGAGGAGGCACACGAATGAGGGCTGCACAGCGTGATCACAGGGTCTAGGTTGGTTTGTATGGGGATAGGTGGTCCTTGAGGTATTGTCCTGAGCTGTTAAGACTTTATAGTTCAAAATCAGCACTTTGAATTGGGCCTGGAAACTAATTGGCAGCTGGTGAAGTCAGGCCAGGATTGGCGTTATGTGCTCAAAACATTTTGCCCCAGTGAGCAACTGGCCGCTGAATTCTGCACCAGCTGAAGTTTCTGAACTGTTTTCACAGGCAGCTCTGCTTAAAATGTGTTGCAGTAATCTAACCTAGGGGTTACCAGAGCATAGACAACAGAAGTTAGGCTATCCCTGATGGAAGGCACTCTGTGCCACTGAGGCTGCCTGAGCCTCAAGCGACAAAGGATCCAGAATAATTTGTAAGCTGCGTACCCACTCCTTCAGAGGGAGTGTAACCACATCAAGAACAGGCAACCTCCCATCCATGCAGTCTAGGAACCACCCACCAGCGTGCCTCATTCTTATCTTGACTGAGCTTCAGTTTTTGGGGTCTCATCCAATCCAGGCAAGACAACAGTCCAGCATATTCACTGTGTGTCTTGCTGACGAGGTACTCTAAAACTCTGGATAACGCCACTCAGCGGTTTGGTGCTAAGCAACATATGGGATGAAATCCAATCCTGAGGAACCCCACATGGAAGGCTTCACAGGGCTGAAGAGCACTCACCAAGCATCACCCTCTGGAAATGACCAAGTAGGCCCACAATGCAGTGCCCTCCATCTTTAACTTGGGCAGCTGCTCGATTAGGAGACCACGGTCAACAGTACTGAAAGCAGCTGAGAGGCTGAGGAGAATTAACGGGGGCCCATTTTCACTGTCTTTCTCAACAGAGGTCATCATACAAGGTGATCAAAGCAGTTTCTGTGCCAAAACACCAATTGAAATGAATCTAGAAATTCAGTTTCCTCCAAGAGTGCTCCAGAACCTAACCCAAGAAGGGGAGACTGGCCATTAGCTACTTAGATTTTCTGAATCCAGGGAGGGTTTGGCACTAACAAGACAACAGCGGCAATACTTGCTAGATGTGTAATGGGACAGTGTTGCAAAGGGAAGGTTGCTTGCGCCCTAGTATGGAAGATGGTATTGACAGGAGGCCCTCTTCCGCAGAATGCAGCAATTGATGGGGTTTGTCTGTTCCTGTGTATAGATGTATGCACACTTAGCACAGATACTTCCTCTCTTGTCTATAGTAAACAGTTTTATGCATTCCATATACAGTCTTCCAATTTTTTCAGGGTGGGGGGAACCACATCTCTCATACCCACTTTTTCCACACCTCTCTGTCTTAGCTTCTCAAGGCTCAGCTACTCTCCCCCTGCAATGGCAATGGGCAGTTTTTGGTTCTAAAAGCAAGCATTCAGGAAGTTGTAATCCCCTGCCCAGTGAAGTCTGCCCTATTGCAGGGTTGAGGGCTGATCTCTAAACCAGGTGTGAGGAATCTTAGACCTTTCAGATGTTGCTGAACTACAACTCCCATCATCCCTGGCCACTGGCCATGCTTTGCCGAGGCTGATGAGTTGTAGTTTAGTAACACCCCGAGGGCCAAAGGTTCCCCCACACCTCTGCTAGGGGCCTGCAATCAGGAGCAGCTGTGTGCACTGTGCCCTGCCCTCAGAGTCCAAAGTAACATGGAAGGGACTTGCTCTGTTCTATATTAACTTATAATAATAATAATAATAATAATAATAATAAGTTGACTTGTTAGCTGCTTGTTACCTAGAAGCCTACATATTTAAATACATAAATGTAGTAATGGACTCCTCCAAAAAAACACGAAACAGCCACCTCATAAAGGCAGCAGTAAGTTTTGGCAGCAGACAAACTGGCTAAATACCTGACCCTCCAAGTGTCCCTTTTCACCAGGGACAGGCCCAGATTTAAAAAAGCCATCCCAGTTTCTGATTTGATCCTGGAATGTCCAATGTTTCCCTATTTTCATTGTAGAAATGTTGGGAGGGTATGTTACCCTAGTCTACCAAAAAACGGGGGGGGGGGGAGGTTGGCTTTTATGTCCAAGAAGGTGCAGGCAGACCTCCCTGGGGAGAGCATTGGCAGACAGGGAGCCACCCCTGAGAAGGCCCCCTCGCTTGTCGCCATCCTCTGAGGGGGACCTACCTCAAGCAGGGCCTCAGATGAAGAACTAAGGGTCACGCTAGGTTCCAGAAGATACGGAGCTCTTTAAGGTGGAGGATCCCAGTAAGTCAGAACTGGGCTTGGAAGGTGCAGGCAGCTACAGAACTCCCCTTCCCGGAGCTGTCCACGTGTTTCCACGGCATGTTACACGACCCACCGCAGCTTTCCTGGCTTCGCCTGGGGCGGCCAACCTGCCAGCCTGAAGAAGCGCGCTCCTCCGGTGCCTCTTTACTCGGAAGGAAGCGCCGCTGCGTCCCCGGGCAGCCCGTTTCCTCGCGAGTAAGTGCGTCCCGCAGGCCGCCGGCGAGCTCCCTTCCCAGCGGCGCGTCGGCGCCTCCCCCGCCCGGCTCCGAGGGCGGCCCTTGCCGGCCTTTCTGGGCGCGACGGGGCGGTCCCGCGGGGAGGGCCCGGCCTCAATCCGGGACCGTAAATGGGGGCCAGCGCGGCGGCCGCGGCGTCTTCTCGGGCGCCGGAGAGCAGCTGGCGGCGGGTCCCCCGGAGGCACTTTCTCGCCGGCTCCTTCCGCGCTCGCCATGGCGCGCTGCTGCTCCGCCTTCCGCGCGGCCGTGGGGCTGGCCGTCGCCGGCCTGCTCTGCCTCGGCTCCGGGGTCTTCCTGGTGGTCTCGTTGCCGGCCATCCTGGAGGAGCAGGTGGTCAAGGTAGGGGCTCCCGCGGGGCGCGCTCTCGGTCGCGTTGGCCCCCGACGGAAGAGGCGCCTGGTCCCCTCGAGGCCGGGGGCTCCTTGGAGGTGATTTGTAAAAACGGGACTCGCCATCTTACTTGCCGCTCATTTGGGAGGAAGGGGGGGGAGACAACCTCCCCCCAGTCCTAAAATCATTCACATCAAACCAACAATTTCTCCTTTCCCGTAGTCTGGTGTCGAGGCCAGCTGTTGCAAATCCGTGCTTGGTGGGTCCAGCATCCTCCAGGGATGGTCCAGCGCCTCTCCTCTCCTTCAGGGGGGAGCAGTAGCACAGCAGGAAGAGCATAGCAAAAGTTTTCCCTGCTTTGAGGTTGACCCAGCTACTCTCCTGCTGCTGGTGGGGAAGGACCGAAGCTCAGTGCTGGACCATCTCCTTCACAAGCAGAAGGTCCCAGGTAGGGCTGGGAGAAACTCCTGCCTGAAAGAGTTGCTGCCTGCCCGTGAAGACAGCACTAAGCTATCTACATACAGCCATATGGTCCAATTCAGTATAAGGCAGCTTTTTATTTTTTATTTTTTTGCTCCTTCTGCCTTCAAAATAGAGTTCCCAGTTGGCCTGGGATGGGGCTGCAGAGGGAAGAGAGCCTGACCAGCATGCACCTGAGGTAGCTTGTTTACCTGTCCTGGGAAGGATGCTGTTGATTGTCCCCATCTTATACATCCTGTGCATTTGAATGGAAATTGGGACAGCATAGTTAATTATCCTAAATGCACGCTAGTGACTATGCATGTGTGTTAAGGCTGATTGCAACACTGAATCTTTAAATATTAATTTAAAATGCTCCTAATGACTGCCTCCTCCCCACAAAGGCTAAATGGAGTATGTTTGGTGTTTGTGTCTGTGGGGGAGATTTCTGTTAGGATCACAGCTCAGGAGGTGTGGTGAACTCTATAAGCAAACCAAGCATATCTCTTTCTGTCAGGAGCGAGCCAGCAATAAATCACAAAGTGAAGTTAACTCTTTATTAGAAGAAACAAGGTCTGCTCAGGAATGCCAGGTGTAATGAGCACAGCAAATCTGATAGGTCTTGCCCCATGAGGCAGTTGTGGAGACTGAAGGTCCCTGCCTTCCCACAGCTACCTAAATCATCTCCTTTCCTGGGTCCTTCCCAAGCAATCCCTCTTCATACCTCTTCTGGTTCTGAGAGACAAATGGGAGGAGCGGAGCTGGTCACAGCAGGAGGGGGAGACCCCTTTACTTCTTCACCAGCCTATCTCATCTCTGCCTCTTGGTCACACTCCTCTCCTGCTTCAGCTGGACTTCTTTCTCTCTGCCACAGACTCCCCCTGCTCACTAACCCCTGTTGCCTCTTCAGCTTCTAACACCTCCTACTCCCAGTCTGCTCTCTCTTCTCCCTCTGACCACTCATTGTCATCCCACCACCATTCTTTGGCTCTGAGCCTTCTTCTCTTGGACATTCCCCAGCTGGTGCCTCCCACCATTCCTCTGCATCCAGCCAGTCCATGACACTTAATCTGAGAGAACTGTTTTAAAAAGATTGCCCTCAATAGGGGAAATTTCCCCCAGATCCGTCACAGGAGGAAAGGAATTGAGCTCATTTCTTCATGTGCTACAGGCTCAGTGCAAACTGATTCCCCTTGGCACCTAGTAGTATTATTTTTTTAAGCATGTAGTTATTCAACTGCATATTTTGCATAACCTCTAGTTCAGCTGTATTTGCAATATAGCCTTTGAAGTGAACTGCTTATGAAACCTTCCTCTTAAACCCCTTTCTCCAAGATCTAGGAAGTTCTGGTGCTTATTTCTGTTTGGGATGTGTGATGAGGGCAGGATTTGGCTCAGCATTGCCTTCCCTTGCCTGGAGATGCCAGGGAGATGCTCTACCACTGAGCTGCGATGTCCTTGGTAATGAGGCTGGCTTGTGGGGCCCACTCAACTCTATACTCAACAGCTCGTCCAAATAGAATAGACAGTTCCTTTTCACTCTGGATATCTGGCACATACCTCATGTAATTGTTCCTTTAATTGTGGGGAAAAGGCACACCCTGTAGCATTGTGGGTCTGCGTGATTTCTGCTCTGCTCTGTGCATGCAGCTTGGGCATCTTGCATGAAGCAATAAATCATGGATGCAAATCAGCATCAGGCTAGGAACATCACCTGCCATTAAAATTAATAGGATAAAATAAGGTGATGCAAATCTGAACAAGTAGAGGGGATGTGGAAAGGGTTCCTTACCTAGAGCACCGTTCAGCCCAGGTGAAAAAGAGACTATGTGTGCATGTGTGTGTCTCTTTATTCCTTTAGCAGAAATTGGGTTGAAGCAAAATGCTGGAAAGATCTATAATGAGCATCTCATCTGGTGCAGAATGTTGCAAACTAATTGGGTTGTATGCCAGTTGAATGTGTGTTCGTATATTTGCTTTTTAAAGGCCCCTGCACAAAGCATATACTTGCTGACTATGATACAATTGTTGTCCTGTGTATGAATGACTAATAGTGAGTTTGAATGTCCTGTTTACTAGATAATTATAATATTTTTGCTACTTGTATTGTGCTGTTGATTAGAGTATCCAGACTGCCAAAAATGCCTATCATAAGGTGCTTTGCAGGGCTGTTGTAATTTATTCCTGTTTGAAAGGTGGGAGTTTGTGTGTGTGTGCATTTGCGATTTGGGGCCAAGGCAGAGAGAGGCAAAGCACAGTGCACCAGCTCTCAGGTCACCTTGGGGTCCTCAGCTGGTAAGCAGCAAATGCTGTGATATCAAGTGTGCTGTGAGGGAGGGCGGGCTAGCATGGGGATCTGATGCGGGTCAGAGGGCAAGCTTCCTCCTTTGTGAGCATCCTCTCACTAAGCTTCTGTTCACGCCTCCCTCATCTTAATATCTGCTCAAAGGAAATCTACCCACTCTGCAAAAGCGTTCATGACCCCTCATTGGCTAATTCAGGAAGAAGCAGGAAGCAGTAACTCTTAGGAAAAACATGATTATCCAAAACTTTCAGGATCTTGGCTTTCTGCTGCAGAATTGGGGTCCTCATTTGTAGAAATAGCGCTGAAGATAGATTTGAAAAAATGAGGTCATGCTTCTGTTCTTTCTACTGCTGCCTCCATTTTCTGGAAACAGGAAGTGTTCTGTCTCTGGACGTTTTTCAGTTGTTGGTCCAACAAACTTGCACAGCAGAACTGTAAGAATTAAATTGCTGTGTCAGGTCACCGAGGCAGAAAACCCACATACAAGGCACTCCAGGACACTGTTTAGTCTTGTCTGGTGTCAGCTGACAGTTCTTCCTCCTACTCTTGAGAATTACAAGAGGTTTAAGGGCGGATGGGGACCAGTTGTTGACCTGAAGGATACCCTCTGAAGATGTTATGTAGTTTCAGTGCGCAATGACTGTGTGCGACAAAAGAGAAGAAGAGCATTGGGGAAGTTTCCATAAAGACACTTGTGTTGTGCAGTGTTGTTTGGGAAGGGGAGAAATCGTGAAAAAACTTTCTGAGGTCGATTGAACGCTCCCCTGTCCTCTTGGAACTTTTATTTTTATATATGTGTGAAGAGTCAATGCCAAAGTTTGTTTTACCTACCACAGACTCGTCTTCATTATATATTTGAAGCATCATCACACCACACTAAACAGTCATGGCTTCCTCCAAAAATCCTGGGACCTGCACTTTTTAAAGGGGCCTGTGAGTGTTAGGAGACTCTATTCCACCACAGAGCTACAATTGCCAGAGTTCCCTGGGAAGAGGGATTGAGTGTTAAACCAACCTGGAGATTGCAGCTCTGGAAGGGGAATCGGGAGCAGGGCTGAAACCAGGCTTCCTGTCACCCAGACCCAGTTTGGCACTCCACCCCCCATGCATGTTGGTGTAGATAAACATGCATGCATGCAAACAAGCACACCCCCCCGTTGAAAGATTTATTCGTAAAGGACATAAAAGTAGGCACTATATCATTTGAATACAAAGGAATCCTAAGAAGTATTATTACTTTATGAACAAAGGGAAAATGAGTATCTCTTCCACTAAAAACAAATTGTTTGTCAAAAGTAGAACTTCTGTGTGCAGCAATTGTCTATCTGGTCAGGTTTTGAATTGGGTTATTTGGTCACAGGATCATTAAAAGACTGCATTTCCATAAGATCAGCCAAGGTGTTTCCTTTTTAAATTTTTTTTTTCCTCTTTGAGGAAAAAACCCAACCCTCTTGGTTCTTTGCAAGGAGTTTTGACATGTAAATTTACTCCCGAGTAAGCTTCAACAAGATTCCTTTCAGTTTTATTTTTGTTTGATTACTCACTGGGAGCCAGTGTGGTGTAGTGGTTAAGAGCGGTAGTCTCCTAATCTGGTGAACCGGGTTCGCGTCTCTGCTCCTCCACATGCAGCTGCTGGGTGACCTTGGGCCAGTCACACTTCTCTGAAGTCTCTCAGCCCCACTCACCTCGCAGAGTGTTTGTTGGGGGGGAGGAAGGGAAAGGAGAATGTTAGCCGCTTTGAGACTCCTGAAGGGGAGTGAAAGGCGGGATATCAAATCCAAACTCTTCTTCTTCTTCATTTTAGGAAATGATAATTTTGTAGTGATTTTAGGTTCCATGTGAGGTGAAGAAATGCTTTTTGCAAGTCTTAAGGTAATATTATTATTATTATTATTATTATTATTATTATTATTATTATAATAATTTATTTGTACCCCGCCCACCTGGTTGGGTTTCCCCAGCCACTCTGGGCAGCTTCCAACAAAGACAAAAAATACACTAAAATGTCACACATTAAAAACTTCCCTAAACAGGGCTGCCTTCAGATGTCTTCTGAATGTCAGGTAGTTGTTTATCTCTTTGACATCTGATGGGAGGGCGTTCCACAGGGCGGGTGCCACTACCGAGAAGGCCCTCTGCCTGGTTCCCTGTAACTTGGCTTCTTGCAGTGGAGGAACTGCCGGAAGGCCCTCAGCACTGGATCTCAGCGTCCGGGCAGAACGATGGGGGTGGAGACGCTCCTTCAGGTATACTGGATCGAGGCCGTTTAGGGCTTTAAAGGTCAATACCAACACTTTGAATTGTGCTCAGAAACGTACTGGGAGCCAATGTAGAAAGGTAGAAAGTGCCTATCTATTACATTCGTAATGCAGCTGGTCTGACCAGAGCTTGCCAGGGAACTGCCTCTGGCACGGAAAATGCTCACACCCCCCTTACTTTCCTGTGTGCAGATCATGTATAGTCTGTAAAATCCCTCAACCTTAGCTATTTAAGCACATTCAAAGTTCTGAAGGTATCATAGAATCATAGAATTGTAGAGTTGGAAGGGACCCCAAGAGTCATCTAGTCCAACTGATTCTCTTCCTCAGCTTCCTGTCCCTCCCTCTGTCCCTCAGAATTCCTTTCTCACACCATAGCAGAAACCCACAGGGGGCTTCACCGGGTCAGAAACCGTGGCTAGACACCCCGCCCCCCCCAGCTACCGCTCTGACAGGGAGTTTCCTAAAACTCACCACCCATAACAAACTGTAGTTCTCAGGATTCTTTGGAGGAAGCCTTGACTGTTTAAAGTGGTACGAGTGCTGCTTTAAATGTTTAGTGCAGATAGGGCCCGGCATTTATTTGTCCTCAAGACCCCTTCAATTAATATAGGATTCACCTGAGATCAGGCTACTCCCTGCACCACCCTCAAAAATGTTAAATTAGCATGGCAAAGCTCTGTCAAACAGGTTCCTCTTTGGGCCCAAAGAAAATCTGGGAATATGGCTTGAATATAGCAGTAGAGAAGTCTTATCTGAATGAGTGGATAAAAAACTGATTTAAATCTGTGTTTCCAGGTATTTGTGAAATGTCAGTGAAAATATTGCACCGCTGATACAGAACTTAGGCACAGCTGGTAGATATTATACCTGCTTGTAACCTTGTTTCCTGTTAAAGGCACATACTTCCACCTTCGATGGGAGTGACCTTGTATTTCTTTTTGGTAAAGTTGTTGTTGTTGTTATTTCCTTTTATAGTAATAATATATTTCTTGTACCCTTCCCATCTGCCTGGGTTGCCCCAGCCACTCTGGGCGGCTTCCAATAAAGTATACACAGTGATAAAAATCTTTGGAATATTGGAGAAAGTTACTCCTATGTACAACTATTACAAGGGAAAGAGAAGCTGCAAACATTCAATCTATATAGTGTAACTTTATTTCATATGCCAATTACGCATTAGCTACATAGGACAGAGATTGGATTACATTAATTTTTTTGTCTTCACTATAAATGAAATTTGTCCTTTTACTTATTTTCTCTTCCTCTTTGTGCCAAAGTGCCTGTATAGTGATTTAGAATCATAGAATCATAGAATCATAGAATCATAGAGCTGGAAGAGACCACAAGGGCCATCGAGTCCAACCGCCTGCCAAGCAGGAAACACCATCAGAGCACTCCTGACATATGGTTGTCAAGCCTCTGCTTAAAGACCTCCAAAGAAGGAGACTCCACCACACTCCTTGGCAGCAAATTCCACTGTCGAACAGCTCTTACTGTCATTTATTCTTGACCTTATACCCATCTTATTTTGGGGAGATATTTAAAGGTTGTGTTTCTTTTTCGTGTGTGTGTGTGTGTGTGTGTGTGTATATATATATATATATATATAAAACTCCACACACCCACACACAGTCACACATGAGATGCAGCAGCAAAAAAAAGTTAATGCTATTCTAGGCTGCATCAGCAGAAGTCTAGTGTCCAGATCAAGGGAAGCAACAGTAGCACTCTGTTCTGCCTTGGTGATGCCATACCTGGAAGGAATACTGTGTACAGTTCTGGGCACCACAATTTAAGAAGGATGTTGACAAGCTGAAACTTGTGCTGAGGAGGGCAAGCAAGATGATCAAGGGTCTGGAAACCAAGCCTTAAAAGGAACGGTTGAAGGAGCTGGGTATGTTTAGCCTGGAAAAGAGGAGACTAAGAGGAGATATGATAGCCATCTTCAAATATTTTAAGGGTTGCTAGTTGGAAGATGGAGCAAGCTTGTTTGCTGCTGCTTGGAGGGGAGGACTTGAACCAAAGGCTTCAACTTACAAGAAAAAAGATTCCAACTAAACACCAGGAAGAATTTTCTGACAGTAAGAGCTGTTTGGGAGGTTGTGGACTCTCCTTCAAGGGAGGTTTTTAAGCAGAGGCTGGATGGCCATCTGTCATGGATGCTTTAGCTGAGATTCCTGCATTGCAGGCGGTTGGACTAGACGACCCTTGGGGTCCTTTGCAATGCTACAATTCTATAAAGCAGAGCTGTATTAAATTGTTGGTACCAGTTTCAGCTGCTGTGAATGGAGCCACTCATCTTATCTAGTATACACTTGAGCTTTGCCTTGGAATGTCACAAGCTGTTCTTGTGTTTTATGGACCCCTGACTCTGCCACAAGCGGCCGTGATCTCTGGAGAGCGGGGGGGGCGGGGGGCTGGACTGCAGCTCTCATCACTGGCTGTGTTAGCCTAGGGCTGATGGGAGTTGGAACACAACAATCTCTGCAGGGCCACAATTCCTTGGCATATGAGTACGTGTACATATTGCAGCAGGCAATGCAACCCTATGCATCTTTACTGAGAAGAAGTTCCACTGAATTTTTGAGTGGAATGTAATACTCCCAGGTAAATGTACATAAGTTATAAGCCTGCAGCTTTATGATGAGATTTCTTACTTCTATTTCCAAAAAGAGCTTATGCCATAATGATTTTCTACATTGTTTGGTACAGAATAATAAATGTATCCAGCTCCTATAAAGAGAGGAGAGACCATACACTTGCACTGTGTGGTTTACAAAGCTAGACAATTTACTGTTTTAAATATGGCCACAATAGTTTCCCAAGAAAAGAGGTTTGGCAGCTGTAATTAAAGGAAACTCCAACTCCAGTGCCTAAGCCAGGCACGAGGAAGCTGTGGCCCTTCAGAGGTGGCTGGGCGCCAGCTCCCATCAGCCCCCACCAGCGTGGCCAAGAGGTTGGCCCGAACCATAATCTGCAAGGGGGACTTCAGTTGAACAGTCCTTCAGCCTTTGGAAAACCACATGAGGCAATGGTGTTTGTGGAAGGAATAAGCTGTAGGTTTAATATAACTATATTCCAATTATTGGCAACCCTATCCTTTACTTCTGCTTTTCAGGAAATAAACAGGAACTGCCTTAGTCAAGCCCTAAATAAATACAGTGTGGGGGGGGGACTTTTAGGAAAAAGTATTTTGCAACTGCCTAAGGGACATCTGAAAAATGGAGGTACAATGATAGGGAAAGCTGCAAGACTCAGGCAGGTGGTGCATTAGACCATGGTTCCAGCTGTGGTCAGAAGTCTCGTGTTAAGGCAGGAGGCTTGGGCTTGAGCAGCTGACATTGTCTTACATAAGCATCAGCAGAAACACTTCCTGCTCTAATGCACAAATAGGAGCCTCATTGCAAAATATTCCTAAAAGTAAGGGAAGGGGGGTGAGGGCTTCCCCCTCCCTCCGCCCTTTCCTGCCTTCTCTTATCTGGATCTTATCTGCTGAGGCTGTAGAATGAGCAAAGGGATTAAGCCTAAATGAATTTGGTCAACGGTGAGAAAAACATTCCTGTGAAGAAGGGAATTTGGGGACACAGAAACATAGAATTGTAGAGTTGGAAGGCACTGCTGAGCTGTCCCAGTGACCACATGATTATGGCTGATCAAATATTTTCAGTTGTGGTCTATTTAAGCACAACCAAATATTCTAGGAATCCAGGAATGGCCTTGTGCAGGCGGTGCTTGCCTGCCTCCTGGCAGGAAAACCTCTCTCTTCTTCTGCCTGCCAGAGTCTCTCTCCACTTAGCAGTAGACATTCCTTGCCTTGCATTCAAGCCACTTTTGCATCTAAAAATTGTTCCCCACACTTGGGAGATAATAACACACTCTCCATTTAGATAGGGGAGCTGTGGCCTTTCGGACACAGTTGGACTACAGCTCCCATGACCAGTGTTAGAAACTCAAATATATAAGCTAGGCACCAAAGGGCTCCTTAAACCAAGGCCACAATCACCAAAACGGAAAGTCTAGTTGCCTTTGGGGGGCAAGATGGCTCTAAAAAGTCTTATTTTTCAGTTAAACATGTGGCTATTTCAGATGACAACCTTAAGCCAGGTTGAGAACTTTGAAAACTTAGAGAAGGAAAGTCACTTGATCCAGGGACAGCCACATATATATTGGCCTATTCTGACCTCTTTTTCTCTTCTACAGGATGGGGTATTGGTGTGTGCAAACAGTCCCGATCCAATGATCCCCAGATGGTGGAAATGTCAGGTGCCATCCTGGAGTCCAGGCATCTTCACTTGCTCACAAGTGGCCAAAAGCAAGGTGCAAAATGCACCTGGCACCTAGCTAATTTTGAACGCTTGCCTTTGGGCATGCTGGCTGGGGCTAATGGCAGCTGGAGTCCAACAATATTTGGAGGACCTCAAGAACATAGGAAGCTGCCTTATTTCCGGTCAGACCATGAGTCCCTCTAGCTTATCATTGTCCACTGGTCTTACTGGCAACAGCAACTCTGCCGGGGTTCCAACTGGGCCTTTCTCTGCTCTGCCTCGGGATTGAGCCTGGCACCTTCTGCATGTATCTAACCCTGTATTAAAACATCATATGCATCACAACTATGAGAGGCAAGAAACCAAAGAGCAACAGTAGCACAATGCCTTTTAAAAGGACCAACTACATGGTCACAGGTGTGTCTTAGGGGCGGGGTAGTACCTCTGGTGGGGGACATGCCATGCTCCTTCTGGGGTAGTTTGTCCACCTTTGGTCCCCACCCTGCACTCAGCTCTCACCTGTGGCTCCTAGAAGCTACCAGCATGTGACAGTGGCCACACCCTAGGAACAACTTTGACTGGCTGGCTAACCCAGGTGAGGGTAGCCAATGGGTCTCAAACCCTCACTGAGTTAGGGACACCCCCTGCATGTGAAGACAGGCCCCGGCGGATGGAGTGGACAAGACTAATAGTGGGTCCAATGATCAAGAAGGTGGTTTCTGCACATACTGTAGAGGGAAGTGAGGGGCAGATGGGGCTCATCAACCTGGGAAGGTAAACCATCTAGCAGAAGAAAAACTCTGATCCTAAACCTCCACTACTTTGCAGCTGTGCTCATTCGTGAGAAAGGCTTTGGGAGTAAATCCTGAGGAAAAATCTGTACCCGCTGCCTTGTGAGACATCTTCAGTAGAAAAAAAAGACCAAGGAGAGGAGTTCCTAAAACGGTTGGATATTACTGAAGAAATAAATAGAATGTCTCGTAAAAAGCAGCAATTTTGTATCTTGTAAACATTTGTTTTCACAATACAGCACCATTCCAAATAAAATCCAAACGGGATTGGAGTTTATCTCCGTGGCCAAGAGTGTGCACCTCTTCAGCTGTGTTGGTTCAGTCCCCCCCCCACTTTTTTTTGCTATTGGTCTAATGCGCAGCAGTCTTATAAAAGGTGCTTGGTTAGGTTACCTAACCGTGAAGTGGCAGCTTATACAATTACTTTTCCTGAGGACCAAATTGTTGTTGTAATCCTTGGTTTCTGAAGCTTTGTTAATACTTCCCCAACATCACACTTGTATATTACATTTGTTCCCTCTGATAAAATCTTTCGCAAGTTTAAATGATATCTTGATGGAAGACACAGGCTGCCTTTGTGATTAAACTGTCCAAGGCAACGTCACGCTCTGCATCCATTGGGATGACTCAGATTAAAACCTATTGCAGATAGAACCAATTTAAGAGAGTGGCTTTCCTGGGGCTGCCTAATGAGTTCATAGCAGACAAATTTCAAGTTGGGGAATTCATAATTTGTAGCTCAGTCCCTTTGGTCTCTGTTATACCAACTCTTACTACTGCATTCTCTCTGGCTCCCTGCCCACTCAGTCGCTGGGCCCAATTCTTAAACTGCTTTGATTCCTGCTGTGGTTTTTGATTGATCAATTATCTGAGTATCTTCTGAGCCAGTGTGGTGTAGTGGTTAAGAGTGGTCGTCTCGTAATCTGGGGAACCGGGTTCGCGTCTCCGCTCCTCCACCTGCAGCTGCTGGGTGACCTTGGGCCAGTCACACTTCTCTGAAGTCTCTCAGCCCCACTCACCTCACAGAGTGTTTGTTGGGGGGGAGGAAGGGAAAGGAGAATGTGAGCCGCTTTGAGACTCCTTCAGGTAGTGATAAAAGCGGGATATCAAATCCAAACTCCTCCTCCTCCTCCTCTTCTTCTTCTCCTCCTCCTCCTTCTTCTTCTGATAACCAAATGACTGACTCTAAAGGGAACCAGCTGCCTCTTCAAGCTCTCTCTGAGCTGTCACACTCTCAAGAAACCTCATTTTGACGGCACTACAAACAATTTCTGTTCTAACTGGAGCATATATAATGAGTTCTCAAAGTTCTTCTCGCATCTCAAAAGATCAGGCTTCTGCCTCAAGTTGTTCTTGCAACTTGTGTTACATCTTAGAAAACACCCTTTAAAGCAGAACTTTGTTTGAAGCTGAGGATTTAATCTGGTGTGGAGAAAACCCGCAGTAGCATCTCAGGACTCGTAACATGTCCATTTTCAATAGGCTGTTTGTTCAATCCCCTGCCCTGGCTAGTTATGAACCCTGACAGAGCATCATGTGCTATTATGGCACATATGCCAGAAAACGTCTTGTGATTGGCACCGTTGGGAGTCAGAAGTGTTCTGTGGAGGTGGTTGTAGCTGGGGGTGGGGGAGGAGGTCCATTGGTGAGAGGAGTAGGGGACGTCCTAACAACTCTCTGCACCCTTAACAGATGACAGTTCCCAGTTCCCATGGCTGTTTTTAAAAGGGGTATATTACTGCTTTAAATGCATACTGCAGAGCAGGCCTTGCTTGCAGAGAAATAAGTAGAATGATACAGGCAATATTTTATCCCACTTGCTTAGAAGTAAACTTTTTCTCCCAGTGTTCTAGCCATTTAGTACAAAGGCACTAGGATAACTGATGTGAATTAGATCCTTATTTTTCAAAAAACAGAAAACGTATAAATAAAATTATATATGGATATTGTTAGTGATCAGTAACTTAGGGTTTCTGTATTCCCCTTGTAGCTCTGTTTCTTCTTTGCTGGGAATGATCACAAGTGGGGGGAGTTGCACGCAGGTTCTTCGTCTGGACTTCCCAGAGGCACCCGGGGGGCAACTGTGAGACCAGGATGTTTTGGCCCGAGCCAAAAGGGCTTGTCTTATGTCCTTATGCATTTATTCTCTCTTCTAGCATGGTTCCTTGCTCCCTCACCATGACATTTCTTGCAGCAGGCCACTTACGACCACCCTGTAAGGCCTGACCTGGGCAGGCAGATGGTGCCAAAATGGCTCTCCAGCAAAGGATCCTGCATTTGCAGAGTTGTTCAAACATTGATTTAAATACACTCTAACTAAACTGATAAGCGAGCGATGTAATTGCATTCTGGTTCAGGGATAGGGAACATATGCCCCCCAGATGTTGCTGGACATTGGTCATGCTGCCCAACATCTGGATGGCCACTGGTTCCTCACAGCTGGTTCCAAGCAGCCTAGCCTGAGTTGCACACAGGGCCTAAACACCAGCTCCCGGGGGTGAAGGGTGGGGGACTGGCCCTTCAGGGTTCAGAGACAAAGTTACTCATTAATTACAGAATTTCGGGTTGTGGCTTGCCTCATCTCAAGGGTACAAAACTTGGGCAGTGCATTCCTCTTATTTTTGAGATTAGATCAGATGCTAGCTCAAAAATTCCCAGAATATGTGCCAAAGAATGTAAATATGATGCAACACATGCTCTGCTGATGTGTTCCAGGAGAAATAAACAACTGTATTCTATTTTACTTCCCTTTTGTCCTTCTTTGTTTTAATATCCCCTCCTTTCTTTATTACCCAATTGCCCTCCTTTTACAGAAACTGGCAGATCTGCCTAATTCTCTGCTACTTTTTGGTTAAACGCTATATTGGCTATGTGGCGCATAAGATACACGCACTTAGGGCATTTTCCCCAGCCATATGAATTTTTGTTTCTTTTTATTACTACTTTTTATCTTTACTAAATGTTGTTTTTCATGTTTGTAATTTTTTTTGTAATTGTAAGGTTTTAAAATTTGGTTTTAATGTTGTCTTTTAAATGGTTGCAACTCACTTTAGGGAGAAGGGGGAGTAATAAACAACAACAACCTCTGATGGAGCACATGTTTGTCATTACAGAATGTGCGCCTTGATCCCAGTGGCATGGCATTCAACATGTGGAAAGACCTCCCGGTGCCATTTTTCTTTTCAGTCTATTTATTTGAGGTGCTGAATCCAAAGGAAGTTCTTCAAGGAGGAAAGCCGGTAGTGACCCAGCGTGGCCCTTACGTATACAGGTTTGAGCTCATTTCTGTCTGCTTCATCCCATGTGACAATCTTAATTTTTTTCTTGTCAATTATCCTGTATGTTGGGCATGAGGAACCTTTGGCCCACCACGTCTTGCTGCACTACAACTCTCATCATCCCTGGGCATTAGCCATCTTTGCTGGGGTTGATGGGAGTTGTGATTCAGCAACATCTGGAGGAGCAAAAGTTTACCACACCTGATTTTTATCTAACTGGTGGTGAAGAAGCTTTTTTTAGCCTGCAGACCACATTCCCTGATGAACAACGAAACCTGCATGCATGGTTAAGGTGACACCCCCAGAAACTAAAGAATGCAAAGCAGGCTGGTCAAGAAAACTCTGGTCCATTGTTTAAGCCAGCCTGAATGTCTGCTTTTAGGGTCTTGTCTACTGGAGTATGAGAAATTAAGAGGCTTTAGTTCAGCTGAGATTGTGTGCCAGAGTGAAGAAGATACAAGACTTGTTGGCAGCTCTGAGTAACCTTCATGAAACTCCTTTCACTCTGCTAAAGGTTGAGACTAGGTCCCTCCCCAAAAACAACTAAGAAAAAAATAAAGCTCATTTGATAGGAGCTTGCCCCTGACACAATTTACCATAACAGAATTGTTTAAGTGAGAAAAAGGGTGTGTGTGTGTGTGTGTGTGTGAGAGAGAGAGAGATAAGGGCAGATGAGAAAACAGGTCTATTTGGAGGTGCCAGATCAAAAAGCAGCTGCACCTCAGTCTTGGCCTGAACTTACTGCCTATTTGGGCCATTCTGGATCCTGAGTTCACCTTTCTGACCTTTGCCCCTTAGTCCACAGAAGCCAATTCCTTGGGTTGCTGCTGGGACTGGTAGTTATAATCCAGTTTTCTTATTAATCTTTAGCTTCAGCTACTGTAAGGCTGGGAATTTAGTAAACTTGTAAATAGTTTGGACTGGCAGAAGATTTAGGAACATGATGTTCAGGTTTTACTGATTTTCATGCTTTATTTGTAGCTGTTTAACAATTAAAAATGATTAGTCTGTCTAATTCCCCCCCACCCCGTTTATATATTAATTCAAACATTCCCTTTATTCTTATATTTCACTTATTGCCAAGCTTGCATATGCTAATCATCTCTGAGCTTTGTTTTAAAATAAATATTTCCAATTTATTTTGTTTGTGGTCTGACCCCTGTCCCATTCTGACTGCCAGCACCAGCTCAATGGAGTGAAATTAAAAAACCTGTTTTCACGAGCCAGAGGCACGCCCAGCCCTACCCAAAGATGCTTCTGCTTTGGAAGGAGATGCTGTGCCACTGATCTGCTGCGCTTCCCTAATGCATGTTCCCCAGTACACCTCCTTACTCACCCCAAAGACCAGACCATTTATAATCAACTCAGGCCTTTTGGCTCTTGTGGGCAGAATATGTGTCCTAGACCTAGAGTGTTCCTGGTGCCCCCACCAGCTGCCCTTTAATGGTTGGTAGCAGTGGCCCGGCTGTCTCCTTGGGACATGTTGCTTCCCATTGGGGAGGGATCATTGAAGGGCCGTAGCTCAGTGGCAGAGCACCTGCCTTGCATGCATAAGGCTCCAGGTTCAGTCCCTGCCCTCTCCCAGTAGGGCTGGGAGAGGCTTTTGTCTGAAGCCCTGGAGAGCCGCTGCCTGTTCATGGGGACAGTGCTGAACAAGAAAGACCAGCGGGCTTTCCGTATAAGGCAGCTTTCAAAGTTCCTCTAATTTGGAGTTCCTCTGATGAGCTTCCAAGCCGAGAACGGAGTTTGAAAGCCACCGAAACAGGTCAGTGGAGGGAGTGATGGAAGACCTTCTTGAAAGCTTATCCAAATCTTTTGCCAAGCACTCAGCAAGGTCTGTTGCCATCTCATGCACAATTCCCCCCCACTGGGCTTAGCTGCCAGCATAATGCCAAGCTTGTCCTCTGCGTACGTTGTGCCTATAGTGGCTCCCTGGTGCACTTGCGGGTGCTGAATGTATGCATTGTGGCTCTGTGCAAAGGGAATGAAGCAAAAGCCTCTTAGCACAAATGTCTTTGTTTCTCCTTTGCCCAAGATTAGAGTCCAAGCGAATGGGGACTCTTATCCCTTCTCCTGCTCCGGCCCCAAGATTGGATTTGAATGGCGCATAGCAAGCAGGGTTTTCTGCTGAGCTGCCTAATCCACCATCCTTGTGTCACCCGTCTGGGATTGCCAGCTTCCCTTGCTCTCGGAGGCTCCAGTTCCTTTTAAGAGCTACTGGGCAGCTCTTGGCAGGCTTGGTCAGCTGCATGATGTGAGGTCAGGAGCCCCACCAGCTGAATTGCTCTTTACTCTTCAAAGCCTCTGTCAATCCACCAATGCTGACAGGCAGAGCCCCTGCAAGCATCTCATTGGCCTTTCAATGCAGTGAGTATGCATGTGCATGCAAAAGGTTGCACACGACTGGCACGCTTTTCTGTTAAAACTAACAGGTGGCTCTCATGTGCAAGAGCGTCGGAAGCTTCTGAGGATCTGTTGTAGTCTGAATGGAACACTTCTTCAGAAGTCTTGCACCATCATCCTCTGTGAAGTTGGTGGTTGAAATATATAATTGGCTTTTCCTTTTAGTTCTCCGCCCTTGGCCTGTGGATTATGCTGGGCCACTTATTAAAGGTTAAATGATTGCTACTTATTTGTTTCAGGATCAATGACTCCTTTTGTTCGAGGTGTTGATCTGTCCCTCTGTTGAAATAGAAAGTGTTGGGAGGCCAGTGAGAGAAATCTGCACCCATAGCTATGTCTGCAGCAACCTAGGATTGTTTTAGAAGTGTCAGGGTGAGAAAAGGTAGGATTAATGGATGCCGACATCCGAGGGAGGTTATGAAAAAAGCCTTGCAATTTACAAAGCAGATAAATAGCGCTTTTAGCACTTCATAACATTAAAAATGGTGCTAAAGAACCAGTGTAGTGAACTGTAGTGCTGGGGAAAGACCTAGGAGACTAGGGTTCGAATCCCCACTCAGCCAGTCACTGTGTCTCAGACCAATTTCCCTCACAGGGTGGTTGTGAGGATAAAATAGGAAGGGTGGGGGAAGAACCACCTTGGAGGAGAGGTGAGAACAATGATGACAATCGCTGAAGTTTGTTATAATGGTGCTATCCAGCCGCCTTGTCTCAAAACACTGTAACTCCTAAGCCAGGGAGATCAGAACATGACCCTCTTAATCTCAAGATTCTGAGTTCGAGCCCTGCATTGGACAAAGGATTCCTGCATTGCAGGAGGGTAGACTAGATGACCCTCATGGTCCTTTCCAGCTCTACAGTTCTATGACTTTTACGGAGTTTCTCACTGGGTTTTTTCTGCTTTGGGCCAGATTTTCCCAACCTGGTCTGCCCTCCAGAGATTTTGGGCTACAGTTCCCCTAATCCCTGACTGGTGGGCAAACGAGGACACCTTGTATGTGTATAACTCTTAAAAAAACTTTCAATAAAATCTTAATAATGAAAAAAAATGTTTTGGAGTAAGAAACACACTCAGTTTTTAGATGCAAATAAGTATTGTATAGTCGTACCTCGGAAGTCAAACGGAATCTGTTCTGGAAGTCCAATCAACTTCCAAAACGTTTGGAAACCAAGGCACAGCTTTTGATTGGCGGAAGTCCCTGCAGCCAATTGGAAGCCGCGTAAGCCGTGTCAGATGTTTGAATTCCAAAGAAAGCTTGTAAACTGGTTTGCAGCATTTGGGAGCCAAAATGTTTGACTCTCGTGGCGTTTGGGATCCAACGTACGACTGTATCTGGAAGCGTCATTCCCTTCCATGTGAGAAAAAGCAAGGGCGCCTCTTAAGACTCTGCTTACAGTTTTTAGGAGTACTTTTTATTGAAAAACCATGTTGTTGTTTTTTAAAAAAATCTGTTGCCCAATTGGAAGACACTTTAAAAAATGATTTAAAGGGGTTTTTATTCGATTGACATAAATAGTGATTCAGTTTTTAAATGAACATAGGAAGCTGCTGCTGCTGCTGCTGCTGTTGTTATCATTAATTGTTTGCTAATAGAAGATCTCAAAGTGGTTTGCAATACACATACCCTCTCCACACAAACATAATAGATGCATAAACACAAATACATGAACATTATCATTGTACCTAAATGTCAGGGCTGGCCCACAGTATTTTGTTGCCTGAGGCAAACCAGAAAATGCCCCCTCCCCAAAAGCATCATTCCTACAAAAAGCAAACAGGATTTCATGACTTCATCCCATTCTTAGCTATATCACAAGCCCTTCAGAATTCAGGAAAACAATATGGATAACCCCTCTATCCCAGTCAGCCATAACTTGGGCAGTACTGTATAGCTATGTTACAAAGTCCACGTAAGTGTGACATCACCACATGCACCCTCCCTGCAGTGGGAGGGGAGACCCACGCTCAGCCATCAACCCAGGCGTAGCACCAGTGGCCTCTGCCAAGCCTCCATTCGGCCCCCCTGCTTCCACGGGCAGTGGCAGCCACTGCTGCTGTCGGTCAAAGTGAGGCACACACCACTACCATCTTCGGCCGCTTGGAAACACTTGACAAGTGTACCCACAAACCCCCAAGTGTACCAAAGAACATGGTTTGCGCAAGCGTCCAGAGGGGAGAGGAGAGAGAACCGGGGTGTCCTACTGTGCATGCCCTTGCTTCCTTGCGGAGTGGGCCATAGACCGTTCCTCAGGGGCAGATCTGCTGGGCAGGTAATGAAGCTCCCAGAGGAGCCCCAGAAGCGACTTCAGTCCACATTGCTTTTACATTTTGGGTCAAGTGGACCCAGTTTTTGTTGCATGATTCAAACTAATTACTTTTTTGTTGCATATATTTCAACAATCCCAAAGTTTGAGAGTCAGTAGCACAGGTGTTGTAAAGATGAAGTGTTGTGGTAAGTAGACTGTTCTGCTGAAGAGCTCTTAAATTCTTTATGCATATTGTCTCTAGAAAATGACATTGCAAGAAAGCTTTCATATGACAAAACTATGGAGTGTCTGCAACGTCTACAGCCTATTATGGAGGAAAGCCTTCCATGGTGGAAGCAATGCAGGTACTGATTTAGCCTGAGTCTTTCTGCCTCTCTCTTCTACAGGGAGCACAGAGAGAAAACCAACATAACTTTCCATGACAATGATACCATCTCCTTCTTAGAGTATCGGAGTTTCTACTTCCGGCCAGAGCTGTCAGTTGGGTTAGAATCTGACTACGTTGTCATACCAAATATCTTGGTGTCGGTAAGTGGACTCACAGTTGCTGTGCTGATAATTATTTCTAGTTTCTAATTGTTTTTGTTTACCTGGGTTTAAACATATGCTATGCAGTGGGAGGAAAGGGAAAGGGCACAATGTGGTTATAGGTTTTCAATTCCCTGAATACTGGCTTTCCATCTTTGTCTTTTAAAAAAAGAAATAAAAAGAAATACCCAAACATCTAGTGCTTATGGTTGAGAAGAGATGCGTGAAAGTATGTAGGCCATTCAGAGCAGCGTGTTGAATTGATTCATTGCTTACTAAGGAAGGAATTTTGATAATCCTACACTGGAAAAAGTCAGAAATGCCACCAGCTACATGCAGGGAAATCAAGGGATAGTCATGGATTGCATACTTAAAATTGATTTCCCCCCTTTCCCCATTCCCTGCCCTCAACCTTTCCTCCCCCTGAATTAATACCAGAGGCACACTCCAGTCTTACATCCCATAAAATTTACTTGTAGGTTGTTGAAGAGTAAGAATTATCTGCTCTAAAGGTAATATCTCTGAATGAGTCACTATTTTGGGTTTCCTGATTGAAATGAGATGAGCCAAGAAAACTGACTCATACAGAGATGTGACAAATTGCCTCTTCTTGGAATTGGTTTCCCAGTTAATTTTATTTACTTTATTTTAAATTACTTACTATTCTATACATTCCAAGTATAACATATAAAACAACAAAGCAATACAAACACATCATTTTAGATCCACCAGTGAATTCAGAGACACTTCCTATCACATATTAAACCTCTGCCTTAAACAAAATTAACACCCCCTCTTACATATTTTTACCACATACCCAAATGATTTAATATCTATTTTAATTTTTATATTTCCTGGATTGGTGACTATAAGTCTGTTTGTTTTATACCTATATTGACTGTTCTCATATATACATACAAATTGCAAAAGTCTGCAATCCTAGCTTCCCATACCTGGAAGTAAGCCCTGTTGAATTCAGTAAGACTTGCTTCTGAAGTAGAGATGGTTAACATCGTGCTGTTTCCACGGCATGTTTAGCTGTTGTTGCGGTGTGTGTTTAAATATGAGACATATATAGAAGGTGATTTGTGTATTAGAGAGTTTGCCTGGGGATCAGTTCCCAGTACTAGCCAGCAATATGTATCCGTGCCAGACAACATGGGCTCCTCTTAGGAGCATCAATGCATGATAACCTGTCCGCCCTTCTCTCTCCCTCTTCTTTCCATCTTTCACAACCAGGCTGCAGCGGTGATGTTGGAGGGCATGCCGGCGGGTGTTCAGATGCTTGTCAGCGCCACCTTTGCTGCCTTCGGACAGGGTGCTTTTGTGAACCGGACGGTGGGAGAAATCTTGTGGGGTTATGATGAGCCGCTCATCGACTTCCTGAACAGCATCAAGCCTGGCTTACTTCCCTTCAAAGGGAAATTTGGCTTGTTTGCTGAAGTAAGTAAACCCTTGGGAGGGAGCTTGGGTCTCTGAAGTGAGTGGTGGAGGGGTGCGGTGGAAGTCATGAAGGGCAAGGCAGAAATGAGAAGGGATAGGTGCAACAATTCTGTAGCAGGTGCCAAGAGAGAGGCGTGGGAAGCTGCTCCAGATCAAACTATCTGCCTGCCCTGCCCAGCCTCAAAGAGAGCTCTCCCCGGTCACCTCCCAACTAATCCTTCCAAGCAGAGGTGTCAGGAATTTAAGGCCAAATATAATTGGGCACAGTTTCACGCCCGTAGCAAAACAAAGTAGCTTAAGAGGAAGACTCCTTCCATGTACCAGCATTTGTAGGGCTTGCCAGTAACATGTAATTGAAGAATTGCTTTCTGAAGCTGTCCAGGGCAGTGTGTGCAAAAGTAAGGCCAGTTTTGCAAGACATCTCCAGATAAGGAATTTCTAGAAGGCAGGGTTTGCTCCTAGCTTAGGGTTACCAGAAGCTCCTGGTTCCCAGGGACAGTCCACGGATTTTCAAATCTGTCCCTGGGAAACATGGCAGCAGCAGCCTCAACAGCCCGGAGCCAGCCTGGTAGCGCAGTTGGCTCTGGCTGGCTTCAGGAGCTGCTCGCTGCTATGTCATGACACATCATACGGGGACTTCCGGAGAGGAAAAATGGCTGGCGCCATGGCAGCAAGCAGCTCCTGAAGTCAGCTAGAGCCAACTGCGCTACCAGGTTGGCTCCAGGCTGCTGACTGCTGCGCTGCCGCCGCCACTGCCGAAGGGGAACCGGGGACAGTACAGATCTCCTGCCCCCTTCCCCCTTTGTTTCAACTGATCGGGGGAGGCTCGGGAGTCGCGACTGGCTGGCTGTTGCCCAGTTTTTAAAAAACTCTGAGCATTTATGTTTCACAGGGTGTGAAAGAAGGGCTTTGCACCTTTATACAATATGCATGTGTGCTTGGGGCCAGGATCTTTTGCCTCACCATCCCTACTACTGACTCCCTGTTGCCACTCAGCTTCAAAAAAAAAAGGGGGGGGGAAGTGTCCCCGGATTCATTGAAAAAAATCTGGTAACCATATCCTAGCTACTACGCCTTCTGTTGGCTGCTATGGCGGGTATCAGTGGCAACAATGCGGTGACTGGTTCAATGTTTCCGTCTAGGGTGCCTCGTACAGAATTAGACTTTTGGTGCATCCAGCTTAGCAGTGTTTCTTCCAGTTTCCTCAAACTGGTGCCTGCCAGATGTTGGATAGCAGTTACCGTCCACCCCAGGCAGCGTGGCCAACCTTGGGAAATGAGGTCAAAATGTCTAGAAGGCACCAGATTGGGGAAGGCTGCTCTGTTCACAGAGGCAACATCCAAACTGGGAGCTAGTGTGGCAGAGCAGCTAGAGTGTCGCGCTCACACCTTGGAGACTGAAGCTCAAATCCCTGCTCAGCCATGAAGCTCACTGGGTGACCTTGGGCCATTCGCCATATCTCAGCCTAACCTGGGTCACAGGATTGTTGTGAGGGCAAAATGGAGAGGAAATGTGGAGTATAAATGTAATGATAATGATACTGTCAAGGCCTAAGGTCAAGATCTCGCCCAGCCCAGGAACCTGAAATCGTTTTTGCTGGTGGTGTCAGGGATTTGGAACATTATTCAAGGCTCTGAGGTGCAGCATATACTCTGCCTCTGAGCTATGGCCAACCTTCCTTGCAAACCCTTCTTAAGAGGGCAATGTGTGAAGTGGCCTTCCTTCCTGTTCTCTGCTCCCTGATTTCCCTCACCCCAACCCTTCTGAAAAGCACGTGAACAAGGCATGTTAATAATATATCTTCTCTTCCACTGCAGTTCAATAATTCAAATACAGGGCTGTTCACGGTGTACACAGGCATGAAGAACATCAGCAGAGTCCATATGATAGATTCTTGGAATGGACTGAAAGAGGTAACTGCAAACTGCTCTCTTCGTGGAAACTCCTCTTCCATTGTCTCTCTCTAAAGGCAGACAGAATCAACCCATTCAGATCCTCCTATGCAGTCAAGATGTTTTGGCTCTGCCTTTGTCTTCCCAGTGCTGTTTGCTGCCCCATCAACTCAGAACAGAGTCTTCTTTTAATATGGAAGACTTGGCACAGCATAGGATTTGCCATGGATTCCGTCGTTTTTTTCCTTTTGTAATCTCACCTGCTCCCATCAGATAGGCTGTACCATGTGCATCACATGGTTGGGAATAAAAAACTTCCATGGAGACAGCTCAGATTCAGCCACAAGAAAAAGTTGAATTCTTCAGTTGCTGTAATCCAAGTGTGAGGAGCCTTTTTCACCCCGAGGGCCACATTCCCTTCTGGGAAGCCTTCCAGGGACCACATGGCAATGACGGGCCAGGGGCGGAAACGGAAGCTGCAACTTAAGTGCATTCTTAACTTGTGGGCATTCAGCTTTACGTGCATGACCATTAATTAATTAATTAATTAATTAATTAAAAGATAGTGGGAAGGTGGTGGAGTTCCAGGAGAAATGACTTTGGCAATCCCACCTGCCATTGAACCCAATGTGTTTTCACTATACAGTGGTACCTCGGGATACATACGCTTCAGGTTACATACGCTTCAGGTTACAGACTCTGCTAACCCAGAAATAGTATCTTGCGTTAAGAACTTTGCTTCAGGATGAGAACAGAAATCACGCGGCGGCAGCACGGCAGCAGCAGGAGGCCCTATTAGCTAAAGTGGTGCTTCAGGTTAAGAACAATTTCAGAGTAAGAACGGACCTCTGGAACGAATTAAGTACGTAACCAGAGGTACCACTGTACATGATTTTGGCTTTAGGCGCAATCCTCGGAACATAAGCCCCGTATAAGTTGTGGGCTTACTTTATGGTCAGTTATACCTTTGCACAGTAGGCTAGTTTCTGCACAATATACCGTATTTTTCGCACCATAGGACGCACTTTTTCCCCTCCAAAAATGAAGGGGAAATGTGTGTGCGTCCTATGGAGCAAATGCAGGCTTTCGCTGAAGCCTGGAGAGCGAGAGGCATCGGTGCGCACCGACCCTCTCGCTCTCCAGGCTTCAGGAAGCTATCCGCAAGCCTTGCAAGCCCGGTGGGAGTTCCCGCGGGCTCACAAGGCTTGCAGGCAGCAGCCTGCAGCCCCGGCGAGTGTCCGCGAAGCCTTGCGCGCCCGGCAGGAGGTCCCGCCGAGCGCGCAAGGCTCGGGCGGCAGCTTAGTCGCCCAAAGCACGGGAGCCCTCCGGAGGGCTCCCCGTGCTTCGGGCGAGTGTCTGCAAGCCTTGCGCGCCCGGCAGCAGGTCCCGCCGAGCGCGCGAGGCTTGGGCGGCAGCCTGTCGCCCGAGCACGGGAGCCCTCCGGAGGGCTCCCCGTGCTTGGGCGAGTGTCTGCAAGCCTTGCGCGCCCGGCAGGAGGTCCTGCCGAGCGTGCGAGGCTTCGGGCGGCAGCTTGTCGCCCGAAGCACGGGAGCCCTCCGGAGGGCTCCCGTGCTTCGGGCGAGTGTCTGCAAGCCTTGCGCGCCCGGCAGAAGGTCCCGCCGAGCGCGCGAGGCTTCGGGCGGCAGCTTGTCGCCCGAAGCACGGGAGCCCTCCGGAGGGCTCCCGTGCTTGGGCGAGTGTCTGCAAGACTTGCGCGCCCGGCCGGAGGTCCCGCCGAGCGCGCGAGGCGTGGGGCGGCAGCCGGGGGGGGGGGAAATAATTTTTTTTATTCATTTCCCCCCCCAAAAAAACGAGGTGCGTCCTATGGGCCGGTGCGTCCTATAGAACGAAAAATACGGTACTCACACACACCCCTCTCTATCCTCTGTCCGAACTAAAAAGAGTCATTTATCAGAGTTCAAGGATGCATCCTAGCCAATCAAATGCACTTGTGGTGTGAAGTGGAGCCAGTGAGGCTTGGGGAAAGGGGAGGAGTTGCAGGGGCCAAATTGAGAGGTCTGGAGGGCTGCGTTTGGTCCTTGGGCTGGAGGTTCCCCACCCTGGTATAAACTATACAAGTGAAGAGGGTCTGCATTTTTTTATATAAAAAAATAACAGTGCTTTGTGCAACACAATCCTCTGGAAATCTTCTCAGACACAAGTCCTATTTGTGTCTTCAGTGAGCCATGTGGCCAGGTAAGTGTCTCTCTTTCAAAGGCAGACAGAATCAACCCATTCAGATCCTCCTATGCAGTCAAGATGTTTTGGCCCATGTCAAATAATAGATTTAAGTCCTTTGCACAATTTGAAAGGGGTGCCTTCCACATTGATAAGACTGCAGGTTCTTAAATGGATGCATTCAGCTCAGATAACTTGAGATTGTATCTAGAGTGGCTGCTTTAGTTTTACACAAGCTAAGAAAAAAAATTCTGCGCTCTTTTTTTTACAGCTTTTGTATGGTACTTTTATTCAGAGACCTTTTGCTTCCTAGTGATTCAGACCTCTGAAGAGTTTCCTGGTACAGTTTAAAGGAAAGATTGTGTGGCAGAAAGGTCTGGGGAATTCCTCAGGATTGGGCATGGGGAAGATGAGGCCACGGTTTGTAATGAAAGCTAGGCTTAACCTGTTTGGCAGGGAGGGTTTCTTGCTAGACTCAGCCCAGCTTCTGGTTATTCTTAGGGATCCATTTTCCCTCTAGGTGTCCTACTGGAACTCTGATCAATGCAACATGATCAATGGGACATCTGGACAGATCTGGCCTCCATTTATGACCCCTTCCTCACCTGTGGAATTGTACAGCCCTGATGCCTGCAGGTAAGCTGAGAAGAAATCCCTGCTTGCCCAGCAGGGACAGTGCATACGCCTCCAGGTATTGCTGGAGTCCACATCAGCTCCAGCCAGCAAAGCCAGGCCTTGGAGATTATGGGAGCTGTTGTCCACAAATACCTGGAAAGCCACAGGATCCCCCCCCCCCCCAGTTCTAAACTGGAAGCATAGGAATCTGCATTCTATCCTGAGCTCAGTAGATAGACTTGTCAAGAGGACAGGCCATGACTCAGTGGGAGAGCATCTGCTATGCATGCAGAAGGCCCCAGATTCAATCCCCGGCATCTCTTGGTAGGCCTGGAAAAGACCCAGCCTGGAGAGCCACTCCCAGTCAGTGCAGGCACATTGCAGTGTTTCTCAGATGACAGAGACCAAAGCTTGCTTATTTTTTGCGGGGGCCTGACACTCTCTTGCACCCATCTCTAGTCTGCTTGAGTTTCATCCTCCATCTCTGTATTATATCTTATAATCTCTCTCACACACCCCACTTCCCCCCTTTTAGAGGAAGCAGTGCAGAGGCTGACTTGAGGCTTCTGGCTTCTGGTGCAAGATCTCTGCCTCTGGCTTGTTTAGAATATATATCCTGATCAGGGCTGGCTCGAGACATTTTGCTGCTGTAGTTAAAATGCCCTGCTGCTGCCCAGCTGCTGCTGCCCCCAGCCCCCAGCGTGCCCTCGCTGCCACATGCCTTGTCATCGCAACTGTACCCTCACCTGCAGCTGCACCTGTGCTGCTACCATGACGCAGCAGCAGTGGCAAGGGCAACAGCACTGTGTTGGCAGCGTGGTGGGGATCGGATGCACCATCTGAGGCAAATGGCTTCACCTTGCCTCACCCACTGGCTGCCCCAATCCTGATGTACCCTTACAACTCTGGGCACTGGGTGAATACATACATAATTGCAGAACTTGACGCTCTCCAAAAAGGCAGAAAGTGATTAAAAACTTGCCTTGAATCATCTGCAAATGGGCTTTAGGCCTGTCAGCAGCTGCCCATGGGAAAAGTTGGCTAAGTCCGAGTCTCAGCTGGGAAGCGGAGGCATGGAAACATCTCCTGGCTGAAATATGTGGTCGGCGTGTTCTTTCAGGGTTTGCTTTTTGGGGAGGAAATCCTTTGATGAGGCTGTAGTCTCACACAGGAGAAGGTACAATCCCTGCTCCTACCTGGCAATTTCCCTCTTGCAGCTGCACTCAGAAAAGGCTGCTCCCGTGTGAACGGTTGAATCAGGTGCAGTCTGTTGAGGATGTTGAAACTGGATTCTTAGTATTCCCAGTGGCCTATTAGGGGCTGCTCTGTATGGGACGGGCCAACATCCTAGAAGCTAGGTTGGCTGTCTCTACAAAAATAAATGACTCAACGTTCTAGCTTGTTTACAGTCACAGTTCAAAGTACTGTTTTTGTAGTTTTTTGCTCTCTTTATTTTTGAACATAAAGCACTTTATTTATTACATTTATTGCATTTATTTATATATTTATTATATGATTATTTATTCTCTTCCCATTTGTCTGATTCTTTAGAGTTTACATCACTAATACCAAAACATCTAACATGAAGTAAGAGGGGAGAAATGGTGTGTGTGTGTGTGTGTGTGTGTGTGTGTCAGACAAAATTAGAATTTGTTAGTTCTGCCTGCATTGGCTTTGGCTCCACTTCCTGTTAGCTTCTCTGACCTCCGCCTTATCAGTCCTACCAGTCCAAATGGGCACCAGACACCATGACTCACTTCTGTTCAAAAGTGGCCAGATAGATAGTACTAGGAAGCTTAGAAGGTGTACAAGGGGACCCCAGTTTCAGCAGATGCTGTGGTGGGCCTCAACGTGTTCAACTTTCATCTCTGAAGTATGTCTTCTGGTGCTTGGATGCCCCTCATCTCTTGAAACCCCTGTTTTCAGGTCCATTAAATTAAACTACAGTAGATCTGGAGACTTCAAGGGAATACCAACGCTGCGTTACGTGGCTCCAAAGAACTTGTTTGACAATGGTACAGACTATCCTCCCAACGAAGGCTTCTGTCCGTGCCGCCAGTCTGGAATCCAGAATGTCAGCAGCTGTCGATTAAGTACGTCTAAAAAGTATTTTGGTCCCCGCCCCCAGCAATCATCAGCGTTGTCCAGTTTGTTGGGTTGGGGGGCTAGAAGTGTTTAGACATCTCTTTCATTGTTCTGTTGCTGTTTGTTTTGCAGGAAAATCTGGTACTATAACCCAACCTTTGCTAGCCTGGTTCCCACCAGGTGTCTGGGGGATTCCAACTCCCACCAGCCCTTTCTAGTATGGCCAGCAGTCAGGGATGATGGGAGTTGTAGACCAGCAACAGCTGGAGGGTGCTAGGTTGGGAGACAGCTGCCATAGCCTCTCACATGAACGTGGAAAGCCTGCCTGATGTGGAATCGGAAGCATTGCCAATCTAGCTCAGAGTTCGTTTTGCCCCTTCATCTTGGCCAGACTCCTTTTCTAGCCCTCCTGCCCTAGATTTCTTAAGTGGAGTTGCCAGGGTTTGAACCCCTAACATTTGTATATAATTTATTTCCCAAGATTTGGTTGCAATAAAATCCCCAGAGCAGTTTACAAAAGCCAAGTGAGTGCAACAGCAGCTTCCTGTAAGATGAAAACTTGGATCGTTCCTCTGCCTTACAAAATGCTCAATATCACAAACTGTTATGGGAGAGAACAATAGCAATGCTGTTCTCTGTGGGGATTGTGTAATACGTAAAATGCTGTTGGGCAGACTTCATTGTGTGGGCATGTTCTCTCAGTGTCGTATAATTGTTAGCACCTCTTGGGGACCTACAGGCTCAGAGGCTGACTTTGGGCTACTCACTTTCTCAGCCTAACTTACCTCCATGGGGCTGTTAAAATAAAACGCAGTGGAAGAAGCCATATTTGCCACCATGAATGCCTTGGAGGGAGGGCAGGATATAAGAAGAGCCTGCTGGGTCAGGCCAATGTCACATCTAATCCAGCATTCTGTTCTCAGAGTGGCCAATAACAGAATCATGGAGTTGGAAGAGACCCCAGGGGTCATCTAGTCCAACCCCCTGCAATGCAGGAATCTCAACTAAAGCATCCATGACCAGTGGCCATCCAACCTCTGCTTAAAAAAATTCAAGAAAGGAGAGTCCACAACCCCCTGAGGAGTCCGTTCCACTGTGAAACAGCTCTTACTGTCAGAAAGTTCTTTGTGATGTTTATTTGTAACTTGAATCCAGTGATTTGAATCCTACCCTCTGAAGCAAAAAACAAAACAAAAACAAGCTTGCTGCATCTTCCATCTGACACCCATTCAGATATTTGAAGATGGCTATCATATCTCCTCTCAGTCTCCTCCTTACCAGGCTAAACATACCCAATTCCCTCAACTGTTACTCTTGAGACCATTTATCATCTTGGTTGCCCTCCTTTGCACACATTCCAGCTTGTCAATATCCTCTTTGAATTGTGGTGCCCAGAATTGGACAAATGACTCCAAGTGTAGTCTGACCAAGGCAGAATAAAATGGTACTATGTCTTCCCTTGATCTGGACACTAGACATCTGTTGATGCAGCCTAGAACAGCATTAGCTATCAGATGCCTATAGAAATAATCTCCCCAATTGAGCCTCCCACCAGCCACTGGCCCTCAGAGGCATTCGGCCTCCAACAGTTGAGTTAGTCATCATAGCCAGCTAGCTAGTCCTCCTTTTAAGCCATCAAATAAGGTGGCCATCTCTGCTTCTTGTGGGAGCAATCTCGTGAGAAAAGGCAGTGGCTGAGTGCCAGAGCATCTGCTTTCCATGCAGATGGCCCCACATTCAGTCCACAGTGGCTTGAGGCAGAGCTAGGAATGCCCCCTGCCTGAAACCCTGGAGAACCTCTGCCAGTCAGTGGTAGACTGTTCTGAACTAGATGGATGACCTAGGGTTTGACCCCGTGTATGTCAGAATGAGGTTTCCAGGGGCCAAGAGTGTCTTCTGTTGGCACTTTTGCCTTAGCTAGCAGAAGGAAAATACATTTCTCATTTGCACAATTCATACTAGTAGCCTAATCTGGATGGTGGGTTTTTTCGTGTTTGTGTGTTCATGGATCTTTGGTTAACTTGTGTTAATCAGTGGCTTTCCATTCACAGCCTCTCTCTTGGAAATGTGTTAATATCACCCATTATTTACCCTAATCTGTAATGTTCTTCAGAATTAGGACAAGTATTTTCAAGCTGCCGTTAAGAAGTGGCCCAGTCCAGCTGTGTTAGGTGCCAAGTTGGTTAAAGAGTATGTAATACAGAGACCCCTGTAGTGTGTGGGATTCTGAAATTTGTGGCTTTACAGTTTCATGACTGATGTATAGGTGTGCAAAGAATGTGTTTTTTCAGCTGTTGAGTCTTGGTCCTCACTCATGCTTCAGGTGAATCGTTTCCTTTTAAGCAAATGTCTGCTTGCATTTTTTATTTGCTTATACATTTATTTTCCTTAAAAATGGGGGCAGGGGAGGGGGCTGCTCCAGGAATTGGTAATGAAGTTGCTGTCCACAGCCAGCTTTTGCTTCATCCTTGGAAAACTAGCCCCAGCTCAGCCCCAGGGAGGAAAAGCTGCAATCAATATTGAATGCAAGGGCTATATTGAATTCTGTGGGTTAAACCACAGAGCCTAGGGCTTGCCGATCAGAAGGTCAGCGGTTCGAATCCCCTCGATGGGGTGAGCTCCCGTTGCTCGGTCCCTGCTCCTGCCAACCTAGCAGTTCGAAAGCACGTCAACGTGCAAGTAGATAAATAGGTACCGCTCCAGCGGGAAGGTAAATGGCATTTCCGTGCACTGCTCTGGTTCGCCAGAAGCGGCTTAGTCATGCTGGCCACATGACCCGGAAGCTGTATGCCGGCTCCCTCGGCCAATAAAGCGACATGAGTGCCGCAACCCCAGAGTCGGTCATGGCTGGACCTGATGGTCAGGGGTCACTTTACCTTTATATTGAATGCAGTGAAGGCTGTTGCCTCTGGGAAGCCTACAGGCAGAGCGCAGGTGCACCAGATGGCCCTGCTGTGAAAACAGTTTGCTGGACTGCAATTTACCTTTGGTGTGAACCCACAGGGCTGCTCCTACCTGTTATGCTGTCTTCCTGAAGGCCCCCACAGCTCTGAAAACATTGTCTCTCTGTATTTGCTCTCCAAATATGATTTTTGGCACTTTTTTGCTGTGGTCAAGGCTTGCATTTGGCACAGAAGATGCTATTCACAGTAATGTCTGATTACATGTTTGTTTGTCTGCAAAATCATATTTTTCCCCACCCACTGGCGCGTCACACAGTCTCCACCCTGCAGCTTTGCATGCGGAAGATCAATTGTTGTGATTGTTTTTTTAAGTGACGTTTCTAATCTTCATGATCATAAAGGGTGTGAAATACTGTTCATCGTGTCAAGTTCCTGTCTGAAATATTCCAAAGGCTAAAAAATAAATAAAAATCACAGGATCAGGGATGAGTACAGGTAGCGAGATGATTCTATGCCTCAAAGAGCTTCGTTTTGATCTGCTTGTCTTTGCTTCTTCTTTTTTAGATGCACCAGTATTCATGTCCCACCCACACTTCCTGAATGCTGACCCAGAACTGTTAGAGACAGTGGATGGCTTGCATCCCAACGAAGAGAAGCACGGGCTTTTTGTGGATCTGCACTCAGTGAGTGAACCATTCATCCACTAACTCTGGTGCTTTCTTGCGTGTTTAGTGGGTGTCACTGTGGTGATGGAGCCGGGGGGGGTGGGCTTTTTAGGTTAGAGAACAGGCAAGTCAGAGGAGGCGTGATAGAGGTGTATAAAATGATGTACGATGTGGAGAAGGTGGACAGAGGGAAGTTTTTCTCCCTCTCTCATTTTACTGGAACTAGATTGGGCTTGTGAAATGACACTTGCAAACCCTGCTGTATTTAATGTTATCAGGCTCTTAGATGTAAGCCTTCTGGTTGCCTCTTGATTACAGTAATATTTTATCAGCACAATGAGGACCCTTATCTGTGACCCACAAATATGGCCTGTTGAATGGAAGAGTAGATTGCATCACTTTAGATTATGGGGAGGCGAGGAGGGATGCCATGCTTTTAATGCAGCATCCTGTTAAACATAATGGTCTGTAAGTAGAAAATTAGCAGCGTTGGTGGGGGTGAGGAATTCTTGCCTGACTTGCTTCCTGCTGTTCTAGAGTTCTACATGCAGGAGGGAGCGCGGTGTTCACGTTTTCAAATGTCCCCATATGCAGTGATACAGTCCATTTACCATCACATTGGGTGGACCAGGGTTATTTTTATGATGATGACTGCTTCCACTACCACCCACCCTTCACCAGCAGGCAGGTTACAACAATTACAAATGGAAAAGTTAAAACAAATATGCTGTTCCAATAGTCATGAACGTAACTTCTGTATTTTCTGTTCTTTTGAAATTGAACTAGGAAGTTACTCTTGGTACAAACCCAACAGCCTTCCCTTGATCTGTAGAAGGCAGTTTTACAATCTCGCCTGCTTGCACCTATATCTAATCTGCTCTCCATGTCTATCATCTGTTTGTGGCATATGGCTTGCCATGGATTCCATAGTACAAGGATATTCTTTATTATTGCGCTGATTAAGGTAGCTTTAAAATCATAAATCAATTAGTGCAGTGATTTGTCTCAAATGGTGGGGGCCGGCTCCGTCTCCTTGTGGGAGTGTGGGCAGGACACCTGAAGGTGAGGCATGTGGAGATATGGGGTGGCGGAAGAAAGATCTGTGGCAGACAGAGCAAGAATTGCTTTCTTCCTCTTGGCAGAGGTTTGAACATTGCAGTCATCCAACCTGTAGCTTTCTTGGCATGTCCAGTTAAAACAAGTATGGGGAACCTTTGGTCCTTCAGATGTTGCTCAACTACAACTCCCATCACCCCTAGACATTGGCCATGCTTCCTAGGACTGATTGGAGTTTAGTAAGACTTTGACAGCCAAAGGTTCCCTACTCTTGAGTTAAAGGGACATCAGGTAGTGTCAGGGACTGGCTGGACACTGATGAGTGGAGGCTGGATAAGGAGTAGAAAGGGGGTTGGAGACTGACTTGGAAGAAGGGATCAGTGATCTGGGGGAGCTTGTAACAGCCAGGAGAAGAGAATCAAAGACAGGAGACGCCTCATTGGAATAGCTGAGAGACGAAGGATTGAGGGACATACCTTGTCCTAACGTGTAAGTGTGCTTTTGAGAACAAAGAGTTAATTCCTTCCTCTGGACCTTCCTTGGCTGACAGCACTATGGCAGGTAGTCCATCAAACTCAGGATTGCCTATGATGGGCAGCAGCTTTCAAAGGCACATGGATGGAGCACTTACGGCTTCCAGATGTTGTTGTACTCCACCTCTCATCAGCCTCAGCCAGCAATGCCAGAGGCCAGGGATGAGGGGAGTTGTAGTTCAGCAGCACCTGGAGAGTGGCAGGTTCCTGACACCTGGTGTACATACTGCATGCAAAATGTGTATTTTGTTGTTAGACTCCATCTCCCATCAGTCCAAAGCATTATGGCCAACCAGCAGGAATTGTGGGAGTTGTAGCTGGAGTGTTGCTACACCTGGAGGAACACAGCTTCCCCTTCCCGGGACTAATGGTGTGACTCAGCTTTGTCAATGTTACTTGGCAACCAAGGTGATAGCATTTTTAATTTCACCCAGTGTAGCAATACCATGGTTAGGAGAGAACTGGAACAGTAAATGTGTAGATGAGAGATTACAGTTAAAAACAAACCAATAGAAAACCTCCTAAACATCTTCCTAAGTGGGGAAACAATTGCAACACAAAATCAGTTATGTGCAACACAATTTTAAAAACAGAGAGAGAAAGACGACAATAGTTTTATTTAGTTTTATGAAACTAGCTTAAGTTATTTATTTAAATCATTTTTATGTTTTATTTTTATTAGTAACAGAACAATCGCAACACACACAGCTACATGTTGTACACAAAATAATTACATCAGCCACCTCTCACTTCAAAAGAAACTAAAATGGCCTGAACACACAAATTCAAGCAGAAGCAAAAAAACAAAAACAACCCCCCCCCAACCAGCTTTCCTTTTGCCCAGCAGGTCCCACGAGGTCCAAGAGTCTCTCCCAAAGGATCTGAGGATTAGGAGGTCTGGGCTCCTTTGGATTGCTTCACATTTCCAAAAAACCAACAACCCCAACCTCTAAGAAGTATATAATCTAGCTCAAAATATCAATTAGAACATCACCTTAGTTGGTTAGAACATGTTGTTGATAATTCCAATGTTGCAGGTTCAATCCCCGTCTGGGACAGCTGCATATTCCTGTATTGCAGGGGCTTGGACTAGATGATCCTTGGGTTTTCTTCTACCTCTACAATTCTGTGAAACAGTAAAGACCCACATTTAAAGCAACATAATTAATAGAAGAACAAAAGAGTATTTTAAACCTAAAAAAGAAAAAGAGATTACCAGTTTTAAAAAATACAATATAAAAATTCCACATAAAAAGAAAGTAACACAAAGAAATGACAACGTTACTGGTGGTTACAGCGTTGAACCCATGACCTGCAGGACCAGGGTTCAAATCCCCACTCAGCCCTGAAGATCGCTGGATGGCCCTGGGCCTCTCAATATCACTCAGCCTAGCCTACCTCACAGGGTTGTTGAGGACAAAATGGGGAGGGTAAGAATTGTGTTTGCCCCCGAGCTCTCTAGAGGCAAGGGGGAGTATAAACATCGCAATAAATAAATGAAAGTGCAATATACCCGCACTCATAATTTGATATTGCATTAGACCATCTCAGGCATGTTGGATCTTGAGAAGAATGGTGCTTTATTCAGCAAACATTGTCTCCGATTTTACATACTAGATGTTTACTTTCCTTCTTTTACTCTAAGCCCCATCTGCACTATACATTTTAATGTAGTCTCATACTGCTTTAAACAGTCATGGTTGTCCCCGCAACACAGAATCCTGGAAACTGTAGTTTATAGAGGGTACCGAGAGCTGTTAGGAGGCCCCTATTCCCCGCACAGAGAGACAATTCTCAGAGTAATTGAACAATCAATCCCTCTTCCTAGTGAACTTGTTTGGGAGAAGCCATGGCTGTTTAAAGTGGTATGATACTGCTTTAAATGTATAGTTTTGTCATAACTGCATATTCAGAGAGCTATAGCAGGTCTCCGGTGGAACTACATTAAGCCTAATCTTTGAGCTTTTACACTGGACTAATATAATAATATAATAATATAGATTAAAGGAAAGATTATTTTTAACATGCTTCTGATAAGTTGTTTGATTTAAAAAAACACACTAAAGTACCTTATTTATTACACTTTGCATCCCAAGGCGCTTGAGATAGCATTTTTGTCTCGTAACAATTGTTACCTCATAGTTGCAGAAAAGCAGGTATTTTGTATGGTTAAGTGTTTGACTAGGACCTGGAAGAGCCAGGTTCAAATCCTGTTACACAAAGCTCACTGAGTAACTGACCAAAGACCACCAACTCTCAGCCTGACCTACTTCACAGGGTGGTTGTGAGGACAAAATGAAGGAATTGGGGGTGGCCATGGACTTTTCCTTCAGTTCCTTGGAGGAAAGGCAGGATATAATGTAGTTTGGAAAGCTTCACAGTACAAATACATTATTACAGCAATATGCCTCATCACAGTAAAACATTGCAAGTGGGCTTAAGCCAAGTGAGGCCGTGAGCCATCTTTTGCAATACAGTATTGTCTCATTGGGCAGTGAGTGGTTCTCCATGGCCTCAAGCCAGGGCTATTTCCCATCCCCTCTACCTGGAGGGGGCTAAGCTGTGGCCTTCCGGATACTGTTGGGATTCCAACTTTCACTAGCCCTGGGACAGCCCACCTGTGAGGCACCCTGCTTGTTCCCGAGGCAGATCTTCACTCACCCCTTCTTCCCTGGCGGGGAAGGGGACGCCATTTTGTAGTTCACCTCAGGTTCCAAAATGCCATGGACCGGCCCTGCACCAGCCCCAATGCACATGGCCAATGGCAAGGGCTATTTCCTGGGCCTTCTGCACTCCAAGCATGTTCTCTAAAATGGCAGGTTTGTGTTCTTTGTCAGGTTAGAAAGACCAGGGGTGGTGACAGTCAAGTAAGTTGTATTTTTATGTGTATTTCAAACAAATACATAATTTTGTATGTCCCTTTATATTATTTTGTTCTACCCCAAAGGGATTTCCCTAAAGGGATACAATTGTAAAAAACAGCTAACTTAGAACAAGGATATAACATTAACTATACAACAGCAGAAAAGCAGCCAGGGCCAGCCCTGGCATTAGACAGAGGGAAGCAGTTGCCTCAAGCAGCTGGTTTTCGAATTCCAGAGGGGCAGTAAATTACGTATAAGTTAATGGACTGCTGTATTCTACTGCCAAGGACAGGCACTTCACAGGATTGTCTGCTTCAGATCCCAAAATAATTAGGCAGGCCTGCAGAGGGACATCCCTTTTGCTATTCCACCTCAGGCAGCATGATATATTGGGCCCTAAATGAGGATATTTCAAGCTGGACAAGTTGACAGCTCTTTATTTGAAGGAATATTGAAAGCTGGACAAGGAAAAACTTTTCCACCTGGCGCATCACACAGACTTAATAATGGCCACAGACTTGGACAACTTTAGAAGGGGGTTGGACAAACTCCTGGAAGATAAGGCTTTCAGGGGATTCTAGCTACAGTGACCGTACACTAGTGTCTGTGGTGGTATTCTTCTGGATACCAGTTGAGACAAATGTGGAAGGCAGATAATAAGCAACAAAGAAAAGTAGTAGTTGCTGGGGAGCGCAAGTGAGGAGAGTGCTGTTGCACTCTTGGCCTGCTTTGGGGCTTCACTCAGTTGGGAGAGCATGAGGCTCTTAACTTCAGGGTTGTGGGTTTGAGCCCCACGTTGGGCAAAAGATTCCTGCATTGGAGGGGGTTGGACTAGATGACCCTCATGGTCCCTCCGAACTCTGCAGTTCTATGATTCTATGAATTGTCGGTGCCTGGCATCTGGTTGGCTGCTGTGAGAACCGAATGCTGGAAGGGGAGCAGGGGACTTTGGTCTGATTCAGCATGGCCAATCGTGTCCTTTGGTTATCTTGTGTCAAGATAACAAAAAACCCCTCTGGTGAATGACCTGTGTTTTCTTTGCCCCTTACAAGTTGTGACAATTTGCTATGCAGTAGGCAAAAACCAAATGGCTCCAGCCAATCAGCCAAATGGACAAAATTCCTACCGGGCCCCTGCCCCAAAAGCAGATAATCCCTTGACAGGCAATAGCTAGGTCAAGCGAACGACCTGAAAATAGGGAGGGAGGGTGATCCGATGCGCGCAGTGAAAAGAGGAAGCTCAGCGCTGCGCGCAGGGCATTTAAAAGCTATGGCTGTCAATCTCAATATGGCAACATATAAATCTCCCCAGCAACAGATAGAACCCAATTGTAATGGTGGCCAACATTCTTTTCCTGCCCAGCAACAGTGGGGTGTCTTGTTAGCCCTCACCGCAACACATGCTCTCCATGAAGGAGAACACGCTTTATCAAACTGCCTTTATAAAAATTGATTGTGAAACCACACCTGGAACACTGTGTACCGTTCTGGTTGCCCCACCTCAAAAGGAAAATGGCCCAAGGCATGTTGGCCAAGGTATGCTAAGTGCGCTGCAATATTTCAGTTAAATAAAAGCCCTGATTGAGTCAGAGGGGTTGCCTTTGGGAGAGGCTTCTTGTCATATATGAGTCACTGATCACTCTTCTCTTTAAGAAGGCAGATCTGCAAAGCAGCTCAGGTAGAAATGCCAGCACTAGCTTCCTCCTGACAGCAGGTAATTCTTATACCTGGACAGAAGTGGGAGTGTGAAGAGTTATGGGAGTCCATCAAGGATCAACGAGTAGATGTCTAGATGGTTTTTGCAGTAGGCTGGCAAAGGTTTCAGACTTGCTCTTAGCTCTAACAGATCCACCAAGTGGTCTGTCCCTATTTTCCAGGGATAGTCCCGGATTTGCAGAAGCCTTCCCGGTTTCTGATTTGATCCTGGAATGTCTGGTTTTTGCTTAGGACATCTACATCTATTTTCATTGGAGAAATATAGGAGGGTATGCATAGCTCACCTTGTACTAATTTCTTCTCTCTCTTCCTCATTGTTCCATACCTGTAGAATAGAAATATTAATAGGTTGTCTTTGATCAGTTCTTTATGACAGTTTTTGTATTTACATCCTTAATCTGTACTTAATCAGAATTAGCTATGGGCTTTGTTATGCAGGTCATTTCAGTGGCCTGGTTAGGACACTGAACTGAGCCATGGTTTGTTTTACACCATGGCTTAATTGTGAATGTGCCTCCTCACCACCCCCATGGGTAGCACAAACAAGCGTTTGTGTAGCTTATGTGTGGTTTGTTGTGCAAACCTGAGTAGTATGAAACAACACATGAACACTAAGCCTGAAAAAAGCCGAGCTTAGGTCTTAGCTCATCAGTTGCGGCCTGTCTGAAACAAACCATGATTTGGGGTTACTTGACAAACCAGGTTATATACGTGGTACCTGAGAAGGGGTGGAAGATGGAGAGGGGAAGAAGCATGTTCACAGTGAAGTCATGGTTTGGCTTACCATGTCACATGAACAAGGCTGCTGTGTGACTCCTGGGGTCCATCTGGCAACTGACTCTACCCCTTCTGCCATCTTTCTGGCTTGTCCTCCAGGCTGCCATTTTGCACCTGGCAAGTTGGTGGACCTTGGGGTTCTAGCTGAGAAAAACACCATGCAAATCCCAGAAGCCTTTGGGAAATTTGCTCACCCATGGAGGTAATGAGGTGCATCCAACTGAGTTTTCTTTGGAGTAGACCCATTGCAATTAACAAACTGGTTAGTCATGGTCCTTAGTTTCAGTGGGGCTCCTCAGAGTGGGACTAACATTTTGCACAACCCACTGGCTTCATTGCAAACCCTCTAGCTTTTGCAAGCCACAGTCATGGTGATGGGCCACAGGTGAGTGTCATTGTAACATCAGGAGCACCTCCCTTGACATGCTGGATTTTCTTATCTTTATGAGTGCTGGAATCTAAGGCATATATAAAAAAGGTAAAGGTACCCCTGACCATTAGGTCCAGTTGCGGACAACTCTGAGGTTGCACGCTCATCTCGCTCTATAGTCCGAGGGATTCGAACTGCCGACCTTCTGATTGGCAAGCCCTAGGCTCTGTGGTTTAGACCACAGCACAACCCGCGTCCCTAAGACATATGTACTCTCTGTCATATTGAAATAAAAGGGATTGTGCTTCTCCCTGCCACACACCCTGGTTGTGTCAACCATAAAACCAAGCACCACAGCAATAAATACTTTATCGAAGTAACTGTAATTAAGGAGATAAGATATTTAGTGGCTGGTGCTAGGAGGTATATTGCTTCAACAAGATAACTACTAGGCATAAAATGATTTTTTGGGGGGGTGGGTTTGAATTGTGTCTTGACTACTCTGGGTCAATGAACCTGGCCAGTCCTGCGGCAGAGGTTTTCCTCTGGCTGTCCCCACTGTCAGAGGTGACACGTCTGGCAGCCAGGGAGGGGCGTTTTCAGTGTTGGCTCCTCATTTCTGGCCCATTCTCCCCAAACAAGCGAGGGATATACCTGGAGCCACTGTGATGTAGCTGCTCCTAACTCCCATCAGCAAGCATGACCAATGGACAGGTACAATGTGAGGAATCGTTCACAACATCTGGAAGGCACCACATTGGCAGTGGAGGCTGGTCTATCAGGGCAAATGGGGCACTGCCCCACAAACTGGCCCCCACCTGCCTGCCACCCAGTGCAGAGGGAGGCACTGCCTATTAGCTTCCTCCTGCTTAGTCCAAGTGTTGCGCTTGTACTCAGCAGGGAGGAAGATTAGGACAAAAGTAGAATAGCAGGCTTCGCCTATCATTAGCTTTGGCGCCACCTAATGTTGGGCTCCCTGCCTCTCACCCTACCGGTCCCCATGGGCACCGGCTACCGCTGCACATTTACTGCCTGTGGGGTAGAGGAATGTGACCAAAGATGGCAAGGTCAAATTCCTTCTCAGCTATGAAGTTCAGTAAGTGATGTTGGACCAGTCAGTATCTCTCTGCCTGACTGACTTCATAGATTTTCTTGCTTTTACAAGTGCTAGAATCTAGGGTATATGTGCTTTCTGCCATGCTGAAATAAAATGTGTTGTGTTTCTCCCCCACTTCACTCCATGCCAGTTGTGCCAGCCATAAAACCAAGAGCCCTGGAAATAAAGACTTTATCAAACTTTTGATGGTTGCTTTTTATTTTGCTATACTGTGACTTCTTTTAAAAAGTGACTTAGTGTTTTGCTGCTGCTATCTCATTTCATTGCAGTGTAAAAGTACTTAAATTGGGGAAAAGTTTTTAAAAGATAAAATCCATCTCTTTCCTCCTAATGCAGTTGACTGGCATTCCTATGAACTGCTCCATCAAGTTGCAGCTGAATCTTTTCATGAAGAGAGTCCCTGGCATCTGGTAGGTAGCAAAGTTCTCCAGGTGCCACGAGCCTGCGTGTTCTCCACCCTGTGACCCTCTGCTCTCTCCATCTTGGCTGTTCTTCTCATCCAGATCTACCCCTTCCTCAGGCAGCTTCGGCCAGATCAGGTTGCTGGGGGTTGATATACTGTACACCTTAGCGCAAGGATGGATAACACTTATCAGCCTGAGGGCCACATTCCAATCTGTGCAGCCTTCCGGGGCCACATGTCAGTGTTGAGCAGAGGCAGAAATGGACAGAGCAGTGAGTGTAAATTTTATCTGTGTACACTAGGCTAGTTTTTACACACCCACGCACACCCACCCCTGTATCCTCCATCCAGACAAGCAAGAGGCATTATCAGAATTCAGGGACCATCTTCCAGCCACGCAAAAACAGTTGAGGGGAAAAGCAGAGCAGTTCCCGTGGGTGTTTCTGGAGTGAGAGGGCGGGAAAACTTCTCAAGCCACGCAGGGCCATATCTGGCTCCCTGGTCTGAGCTTCCCCACCAATGGGCTTTACAAAAAATCAAAGGTTTTGATGAGCGCATGTGTGCGTGCATGCGCACACCTCCCCTGTCTACTCATGCAAGCAAGAAGCATTAATCACAGTTCAAGGCCATGCTCCATCCAGGTAACAGAATTCAAGGAGGGATGAATGCCTGGAGGAGCATTTTCCTTAAAACTACTATCTATAAGATCAACTATAGCTTGCCTATACAGCAAAGGGATGGGGCTAGGGAAAGCGCCAAGGACCCAATGCAGAGGCTTGGAGGGAAGCATTTGGCCCCTGGACCTGAGACCCCCCACCTCTGCCTTTGCATGTAACATTCAGCTGGGCCCTAAATCCAGAAAGGATTGTTGAACCAGCGGTCACACCATCAAAAGGTCTTGCAATTCTCATTGTTGTCCCCTAATCTTTCAGGCAAACAGGGTCAATCAAGACAGTCGTGTTACCTCTCATTTGGTTCTCAGAGGTGAGTTGTGAGAAGCTTGCAGTGGGCTGAATCAGGCCAAACACCGTTGCTTCCTCTTTTATTTATTTATTTTTTTAAAGTGGGGGTGTTTAAACGTTTGTCGGTCTTGCGTAAGCCAATTTTGTAATTGCTTATTCAACACTTGGCTTCAAGTTTTAAATCTTTTCGCCATGAATCACGCCTCTGTCCAGAATAATCTCTTCTAGAAAAAGCTCCCCCACCCCACCCCTTTGTGAGAATGCAACTATTTTTGCCACTTTTGATACCGTCTGGATTAGGCTCTGCAAAATGAACCAAAAGAGGCTGATGTGCATGTAACATTGGCTCCCCTGCCAATCTGGGGCCACCCTTGGAAATGCTGCCTAGACCATGGAGCCCAGGGGGACCTCTTCCAATCCCCAGGCCGCCTTTCCTCTTGTGCCACCTTCCAGGGGCTGCCTGCTGGGGGTGAGCAGGGCCAGACCCCTGTGTGCATCCTCTGAAGAGGGTGGCAACACAAGAACAGGCTTTTTCAATGATGGCTCCCCCTTTACATAATGCTCTCCACAGGAAAGCAGGCCTGGTGCCATCCATGTCAGCTTTTAAGCAGCCCTGAGTAGCATTAGCTTTTTTTGCTGCTGTATCACACGGTTGACTCATGTTAAACTTACAATCTAACTCCCTAGATACTTTTCACATGTACTGCTGGCAATTCAGGTGTCCCCGGTGTTATATTAGGGGAGGGCTTGTACCTCTGGTGGGAGACGCATTCTGCGCCCTCTGGGGTAGCTTGTCTACCTTTGGTTGCCACCTTGCACTCAGCTCATCACCTGTGGCTCCTCTAGAAGGTGTCAGCCAGTGACAGCAGTCCCATTCCGGGAATGGCTTTGCCAGGCCAACTATACCAGGTGAGGATGGACGATGGGTCTCAAACCCTCAGTGAGTTAAGGACTTCGCCTGCATGCGAAAAGAGGCTCCAGCAGATTGAGCAGACAGGACCAATAGTGGATCCAAAGATCAAGAAGGCGGTTTCTGCTGTAGAGGGAACTGAGGGGGCAGGTGGGGCTCTTCAACCCCATCTAGGAGAAGAAAAACTCTGGTGCTAAACCTCCGCTGCCTTGCGGGGTATCTTTGGGAGAAGAAAAGGCTAAGGAGTAAACCCTACAAAATCTGGGGTGGAGCCCAGGAACTCCATACGCAGGCTTGCGCTTCACCCCCAGAGGCACACTCCATTGTCTCTCAGGACAGACGGATGCCAGCAAAAGTAGTTATTCTCAACTCAAATGAAGAACCTGACATTTGTCCCTATTGAAATTCATTTTGTTAGTTTTGGCTCAGTTTTCCAATCTGATATAGTAAAAATTAATCAACAAAAGCTATTTTGTGAGTTGGTGAAAGAACTGGAATTCTGGAATTCCTAATCTATCTCTTGGTGTGGGAAAATACCCTACCCCAAATTGTAATTATACTGCTAAGCATTCCATTAGTTGTCCCATCTGAAATACTGTCAAAATACTACTACTACTACTACTAATTTATACCCAGCCACTCTGGGCGGTTTCCAACAAAATATTAAAATACAGTGGTCTGTTAAACGTTAAAAGCTTCCCTAAACAGGGCTGCCTTCAGATGCTTTCTAAAAGTCTGGTAGTTGTTCTTCTCTTTGAGAAGGCGTTCCACAGGGCTGGTGCCACTACCAAGAAGGCCCTCTTCCTGGTTCCCTGTAACTTGGCTTCTCACAGTGAGGGAACCGCCAGAAGGCCCTCGGTGCTGGACCTCAGCGTCGGGGCAGAACGATGGGGGTGGAGACGCTCCTTCAGATATACTGGACCGAGGCCATTTAAGGCTTTCAAGGTCAGCACCAACACTTTGAATTGTGCTCGGAAACGTACTGGGAACCAATGTAGATCTTTCAAGACCGGTGTTGTGTGGTCTCGGCGGCTGCTCCCGGTCACCAGTCTAGCTGCCACATTCTGGATTAGTTGTAGTTTCTGGGTCACCTTCAAAGGCAACCCCACATAGAGCACATTGCAGTAGTCCAAGCGAAAGATAACTAGAGCATGCACCACTCTGGTGAGACAGTCTGCGGACAGATGGGGTCTCCGCCTGAGACAGAGATGCTGCAGTATTTTATATGGAATGAAAAAAATCACCTAGGGTAGTGGCCAAAACTCTGTATTTTTAAAAAAACCAAGCAGTGGTGGTATGACAGTACCTAGCAGAAAGGGTACACAACAAAACTGACTAAGTTAAAATAATGTTTTAAAGAAGATCCACTGTTGGAGGTGGAAGAATTGATAATAAAGAGATATGCTTAAATATATGCTGTGTTTTAAAGCAAAGAATTGGGAATCTGAATTCTTCTCTCAGTATTAGCTACTATAAGAACCTCTTCCAATATTTTCAAATTAGAGGTGCGACCTCTCTGATATGGGGAAGTCAGGAAAGAGGGAAATTGGAAATTCTATTTATCTCTCATTTGGATAAAAGCATAATTCTGTAAACTTCTGCAAGATTCTGTAAACTTTGGTTGAACTTGGATCAGAACCAGGATACATATGTTAGAAAATGGGTGTGAGGTTTGGATCAAAGAATAACCAGGCAACAATGGAACTTTATTTGGGACAATTTCCATTCTAATATAATTCCAGCAAACCTAAAGGAGAACTATTTTTAAACCCTCTGTCAATGGTATGTAATGCCTTTTAAATTGAATTTAATATATAAATTAGGATTGGATAAATGTTGGGATATGTGGATCAAATAAAGCATATACATATATATCTTTTGGAATTCTTCTCAAATAGAAGTATTCTAGAAATTTGTTCAGGCAAATATCTCTGATATGTTAGGAAATCATATATGCTTGGAACCTAAAATATTTCTGCTTAGTTATCTAAAAGATGCCATTCTGGAAAATGATCAATAACTAGTGCTCAACCTTATAACTGCTGTTGTTTATAATATCTAAAAACTGGGGGCAGAGGGAGTATATATCTTACTGTATATGAATAGACTGAAAAAAATTGGTCCATAGTAACTGTGATTAAGCTAACATTACAAAATAACACATATAAACCAGCCAAACAAGTTCATGGGGAAATGAGTATTTTTTGTAATGTATTGGAGCCGCAAGTCCAACCTTATGCTGCTTACGCCCTTCTGTATCAGTATTTTTTTATGTTCTTTATCTTTGGTTTATTAGGTTTATTCATAACTTTATTTATTTTAAAATATGGACACCCATTTCTTCATTTTGCGCAGAGTGGAGAGATTGAAGGTGATGTATTCACAATGTACCGTACTTTTATGGTGACTATCCCTACGGTTCTGAACTATGCTCAGTATATCCTGGTCGCCCTGGGAAGTTTACTGCTTGTGACTGCAACTCTTCTTGGGCTCAGGAGCAAGGTAGGAATAAAACGACATCATTATTATCGATTGAATTATGTAAATTATTATTTCACTTTTCCATGTAAATATGCATGAAGCTGTTTATGACAAAAATCCAAATTGGTGCATAATTACAATATCAATAAAATAATAAATCAAATCAAAACTGAACCCCTGAAATCTTTCCTCTTTAAATCCCATGATTGACTTGCTTTCAAACTGGAAAATTCATATTTGTTTCAGAATGCAGGTTTTGGCTTTCCTTTTTATCCTCTCACATTTTATAAAGGAAGGCCAAAACTCAGAGCCAGGCTGTACGATCTGCAACAGCTCTATGGCGTGACTCTTGATGGATTTGCACCACCAACTGAGGTGGCAATCTAAGGTGGTGGCATGCTTTCATTCCCATTTCCAATATGGGATGTAGAATGGCAAGAAGAAGAAAAAGCCATATTTACATGCCCCCCCCCCACAAAAACCTAGTTTTCTACAAGTTGGGAGGTTTCTTGTATTTAACATGGTGTGCATTCAAAGATGCTATTTCTGCACCGGCTGCTGAAGGTGGTACATTCCTTGAACAGCTGTCTGATGTGATTCTGTCACTCTTGAAGTTCAGCTGTATATACAAAGCTTTGCTTTTAAAAATTAAGTAGGTCACCTGGCAAAGAAACAGAAAGTACCGGTAGTTGTTGTAGAAGGCTTAGAGGGAGATGTTTGAAAATAACTTTATTCTCTTTCCAACCAGGAAGCATAGACCCCGGATACTGCTGATTCCACCCAAATACATACCTTGTGACTAAACTGTATGATGACACTAGACAGGCAGTAATGAGATCTCAACTTTTTAGAGGCTGGAGAAGGGAGGTATAGAACCACACATTTCAGCCCAGAATTCTGCAGTTGAAATCTGCAGTATTTAAAAAAAACATTAAATTAAATTAAAGGAAATGCCTGAAGTCTTTGTCCTATCAGTTTTTAATCCCTATCTGCATTGAAGTGATTTGTCAAAAGGCCTGTTCATGCCATGACTTGAAAAGGCATTTCCAAGGATCTTTTGACAAGACACTTCACTTCTGGATTTCTCACATCATGCGCATCCACACTTTTTTAAAGTGCGCGGGAGGGAGCAAAGTTTGAGTGACTTTGTTTAGAATGGGACTTGGAATTTTGTGCCGTACCAAAATAGTTACCAAATCAGTAGGGTGACGTAGCTATGAGTTTTTCCACTGGTGCCACTGGCAATGTTTTAAGCAGGGGCAGAGAACCCAATGTTTATAACTCCCATCACCCCTGGTTATTGGCAATGCTTGCTGGGGCTGAAGGGGTTGGACTAGATGACCCTCAGGACCCCAACTTTACAATTCTATTATTCTGTGACTTCTGGAGAGCCACTGGCTCCCCACCCCTGTTTAAAGGTACTCTGTAAATCTCCTGGTCAAAATCTGCCAAGGTTGGTGGTGCTACATTGTTAGTGTTGAAAGATGGATGACCAGTGATGTGAGTTCTTGCTGTCAAAGGGATATAGGTGTGCGCTAGATGTTCCATCTGATGCATGGGACGAAGTGGACTCTGGGCAACCATCAGTTTGTTTGGAAGGTGCTCCAATGATTTTGGCTGTGAGTTTTGAAGATAACACAAACAAGTATGTTAACGGGCTATTGGAGTAGGACAGCTTTCTCCAACCTGGCGCCCTCCAGATGCCCCTTAGTTGCCATCCAAAACATTCCCACATTGGGGAAGACCAAGAGAGGGGCTACTAAATTAGCTGCTTGCGATGGCGGACTGAGTAATTTTACAACAAATGTGATTCCTATTAGTAAGCAAGTATATTTTCTCGCCCCGTGCTACTAGAAATTATTTTCCTGTTTTTGAAAACAGGAAAAACCTGTCCCTTCAAAAGCTTGCAAATGTTCACAGCCATGAGAGAAATCAGTTACCAGTTGAGTTGAGTTCAGCGTTGCTAGGATTTCCTTTTGGAATCCTTTTCATGTGTGGCATTAAAAATAATTGCAATCTATATTTGAGGTGACCAGGGGGTTGGGGAGCTAGTAACAACAACGTATTTATACCCCGCCCTCCCCGGCCAGAGCCGGGCTCAGGGCAGCTAACACCAGTAAAATTACAGTAAAAACATAATGGGGGGGGCAATTTAAAATACAGGTTAAAGTGCGATTTAAAATGCATCCTCATTTTAAAAGTAGCCCATAGTTAGAAAGGAAGTTGTTCTTGCCCATCCCCCATTCTTTTGAAGCTGCCTGAAGGAGCCTCTCCTGTCTGCTCTGTGCTGCTTTGTATAATTGACTTACCATAAGTCTGTTCAGTTGCAAATCCCTTTGTTGCAAAATGTTGCAGGAGGCAGGCTTAAGCAACCTGTTCTGACACGACTCTTAAAACCATTTAAATTGATAGCATTGTATCTACTATTCATTAGGTTTGATTTGAAGTTGGTCATGCTCCTCGGAAGTTGAAAAGTGTGTTAGAATCACAGAATCGAAAGGGACTCTGAGGGCCATCTAGTCCACCCCCTGCAACGCAGGAACCTTTTGGCCCAATGTGGGGCTCAAACCCACGACCCCGAGATTAAGAGCCTCATGCTCTACCGACTGAAATAAACTTCAGAACTGTATTAATTTAATCTTACCCAGTTTTCGCCAGTTTAGGGAATCGAGGCACTACTCTAGGATTGAATGTGAGAAAAAAACAACAACTGAGGAATGTTAGGAAGTAATAAAATAATAGATCTTATTCTAATTGCCCCTGCTAAAAAAATTGTGGTTTTTGCTGTCACCTGGTTATCTTGATCTGCTGGAAAAAAAGACACAGTGGCAAAGGTTGAGCAATCTGGTATGGATAGTAGTAGGGGGGTAATAACCTCACTCCTCAAATCTTTATAAAGAGTGCAAGCCAGAAGCACATGAGCTACTGACTCAATACGGCCATCTCCACAGGGACATAAGGGTTTTCCTAGTGGAATTTTTACAAATCGACCCTCAAGTACAGCTGATGACTTTGCGTGTTCCCATCCATTCTCCCTCCATGGCATGGCCTGTAGGATCAAATTTGGCAGACTCTGCCACCACCTGACCAGTGCTGGAAGCCTGGCTTGCTGCAGTACGGAAGGACTACTCGGAGGAAAGGTGCACAGCTCAGTGATCCAGGTTCAGTCTCCGGTTGAAAGAATCTTGGCTGCTGTAGTCTTTCCCCTTTGTTGCCTCCAACGTTTGGCAGCCTCTGAAGTCAGAACAGGGAATAGATGGGTAGATACGTTCCTTGTTTAAGATCAAGAAGTGGTGGTGAGGATTTCAGCTCAGGATCAGAGTTGGGATTTTGATGTGCTCTTGTTTTTCTTAAGCAGCAGGTCTCTAGGTTGCCTGCCCAAATACTTTCAGGCAGGAATGGGGGAAAAAGTCAAAAACAGAATGAAAAAGGCTGAACTTTGTAGGGGGAGGAATGAAGAGTTATTGAAACAAGCAGGGTGCTCAATTCCTGGGTCAGAGACTATACTGAGACCAGTCAGAAGCACATAACTCACTCATTCCTTGTGGTTTTATTGTTTGTTTGGAATGCCTCTGGTCATGTGCAGTGTGCCTTTGAGTTAATACACCGGATGGGGATCCTGACTGTTTTGCAGGGAGAAGGGTTTCCAGGCAGCGGGGGGGGGGGGGAATACTTTCTCTCCGCCTGCCCCCAACCCCCACTTCTCTTTTCATGAATAAAACACTTAATTTGGTTCCAAATAACTACTTGGGGGTGTACAAACTCTGAGTAGGTTCATGCAAGCATAGGTCACTTGATTACTGTGTTTTCGACAAAAGCCAGCTGAATGTGTAAACTGGCAGTTTTTGAAAAGTGGTGTGTTAATCATACGTATGATTGGCTTGGGGTCAGAAATGGCCAGTTTCAGCAATTCCCAAATCACATGCTCTCATGAAGACACTGGGATTTCCCCCATATTTATCACCAGCCCTCACTCTTCTGACAAATTCCTTATCCAAAATACCATATTTTGTGTTTTTTATATTCCAATTTTATGTTGTGAACCACCCTGAGATCTATGGGTATACGGGTATAGATCTACGGGTATTTGTATAGGGTATACAAGTGCATCCTCCAGATGTTGTTGACCCCAATGCCCATCAACCCCAGCAAGCACAGTTCTCCTTTCCCCTCCCTGAAAATTTGGGGAAATGCTGGCCCATTAGATTCACGTCATCCTTGATGTGAAGAGATGAGTGATGAGTAGACATAGAAGTTTGGACCAAACTATAGTTCTTTACAGGGTTGGGAATCTGTGGCTTGTCAGCAGTTGCAGGACCACAGCTCACATCTCATCTGGCCATTGACCATGTTGGCCAGGGCTGAAGGGACTTCGTAAGTTCAGCAATATTTAGTTGACATTTATCTTGCACCTTTCTTCCAACATGTGATCAAAGGCAGCATAAATGCAATTTCCAGGTGGCACCCATCCCAGGCACTGACCAGATCCAAACCTACCGTATTTTTCACTCTATTGGACGCACCGGACCACAGGACGCACCTAGTTTTTAGAGGGGGAAATCCCCCCCCAGCCCCAAAGAGCAATGGACAGGCTGCGCGCAGCCTGTCCGCTTCTCCCAGAGCTTATCGGGGCTGCGGGGGAGGCCCGGGTTCCCCCCCCCAGCCCCAAAGAGCAAAGAAACCAAGACAGCAAGCGGGATCCATAGCTGCGCAACCTCTCCAGCCAGGAGCTAAACCTCTCCAGCTCAGCTAAAGAAGAAGACAAGGCAGCGAGCGCGATCCATCCCGCTCGCTGCCTTGGCTTCCTCTTTAGCCTTGCGCAACAGGATGGATCGCGCCCGCTGTCCACCGGGGCTGGACTAGATGACTCCTGGGGTTCCCTTCCAACCCTGCAATTCTATGACCTCGGAAGGTGTCGGGGGTCTCCACCACTGGAGGCTTTTAAGCAGCGGTTGGGGGACCATCTGCCTGGCGTTCTTTAGCTGTGATTCCTACATTGTGAGGGGGCTGGGCTAGATGACCCTCGGGTGGCCCCCCAATTCTATACAGTCCTACAGTTCTGCGGCAGGAGATCCACAGCCACTTCACACAATGCCCACTCCCAATTTTCATCGGAGAGACACTGGCTTCAGTGTCTAGGTAGGTACCCCCCTACCTGCCACACTTCCCCCACCCCACTTAAGCTGAGGGAATTCCTGCCCAGAGAAGCTCCCAGGTGAGGCAAGGGTTAAGATCTACCTCTGGTGGATGGTGCTCGCTGCCCTGGCTTCCTCTTTAGCCTTGCGCAGCCTCCCCCCGGCTGGAGAGGTTGCGCAAGGCTTTTCCCCAGGAGGGAGAAGGGACTGACTGGTGGTGTCAGTCCCTTCTCCCTCCAGGGGAAAAGCCCGCAAGAGCCGCGCGAAGCTTGTGTGGGGCTCTTGGGGGCTTTTCCTGCCTGCCTCCCCCCTGCATTCGCTCCATAGGACGCACAGACTTTCCCCCTTAGTTTTTAAGACGGAAAAAGTGCGTCCTATGGTGCGATAAGTACGGTACTTAGCTTCAGCAAGCTGGTGGCCTCATGTACCAAGATCCATCCTCCAGGACCCATCTTCTACCCATATGATGTTGCTGTTGTTCACAAATCAGCCAGTTTCCTTCCTCCTTCCAGTAGTAGTAACAGTTACTGGTTGCTGATCAAGAAAGTTATCAAATGATCTGCTGTCCTGACTACACTCTAAATTTAGAGTTTTTCTGTCTTCCTCCCCACCCCACTGCTATTACATTTTAAAAAGTTATACATTAGCTAATTTGTGAATAATGTGTCCAGTTTGGTCCTGTGCAAAACTGATTCAATGGACAAAATTCCCCTATGAAGGCATAGTGCTGGTAGTTTGCTCATTAAGGGCTGTTAAGTAGCCTTGCAGCTCCAACTAGAGTGCATTCCTTGATTTCCTTAGCTGATCGTTTTAATATTCATTAAACTTTTAAGCATGATTTTTTTTTTATCAGCTGGAGTTCTTCTGAGATGCTGAGAAGGTTGAATCTTGATTCTTTAAAGCCCACTTTGTTTTAAACAATAAGAATTCCTTCCAACTCAATTGCACAGCTATCTGTGATTCGTAGCCTGGATTATCAAGTAAAAAATATGACTATAGTATTTAAATGAAGCTCTAATCTCACTCAAGCCAGTTGAGAATGGTGTTCGCGTGAAATCTTCATTCTCTCAACAGACATTGAAAGATGGGCCCACTGAGATGCGGACCCAGTCTGCCACAAAATTTTCTAATCCTGGATCCGGCCCTGGCTATAAGTATCGGGGCCCACAGGTAAGAGCCCCCTAGATGGGAAGCCTTATCCTGAAAAAGCCGGGCATGCAAACAGAGAACTCTCTCTCTCTCGCTGCTTCTTGCCCCATTGGGAAATCTGAGCAAAGTGAAAGTGGCAGAGGGACAAGTAGAGCCAAACACTTTGCCTGGACCCCAAGGCGTGCAAATGCCTGAGCCAGCCGTGATGCATGGCCAAGTTCTGTCTGTCTTTCTCTCTCTCTCGCCGTTGGGCTGGCCGTCTATAATAGTGGCCTCCCTTGTAAGCTGGTTGTGTGGACAGACAGATTGAAAAGCCCCCCATGAACTAAAATAACATACAGGGTGTGTGTGTGGGTGTGTATAACTCATAGGGGAAGCTTGCAGACTTATAACTCTTGCCTTAAATTTCCAAAGGGAGAAGATTTGAGTTTTTAAAGCATTGCTTTAAAAAAACAAGAGAGAACAAGATGTGAACAAACCATTTTTGAATCTGGCTTGAGAACCAACTTTTTTTAAAAAAAATCCTAAGTAACACTTGACATCTCTTAATAAATCTAAGATGGAAATCATCTTGTATCTAGAAAACCAAACCTTTTCTACCAAACATTGAATAAATTAGACTCCATAAATTAGTTCCAGTGATTACTTTGATCTTATTCTTCAGATGAAATTATTATTTTTTTAAAAACAAAATCGTCCCTCACTTAAATGATAATCTTCTCCTTTCTTCAGATAAATAACCAAACAGACCTAGTAGTAGAGCATAAAAACACTGTTTAAACCAGACTGATTGTTTTCTAGGGAAAGCTCTTTTTATTTTGGAGTAGTAATAAGGGGTCAGGACCTAAAGGGACCGACCCCATCTCCAAAGAAAAAAACATCAACTCAGCAGCTCGGAAGGAAGCGAAACTATAGGTGGATACATGAAAATAAAAGGTAATGTCAACTATTGTAAAACCAAAGTATCTTCATTCTGTTTAAAACCTCCTTGGTTTTAAACGGCTGCTTCAGTGGTTGGGTGCTTTTAAAATGACGTAGGCGCAACGGTGGGCATCTTGAGTTCCACCCAGGTAATCCCTCTTGCTCACAACAGCCTCCTGGCATCCCCTTCCTCCAGCACCCCATACCCTGCTATTGCTCACCTCATTTTTCTTGAAAATAATAATGATGATGATAAAGCTGGATCCAAGTTTATGAAGGCCTGCTTGGGATTTTGGGAATTAACTCTTTGCTATAATTCCAATGTAAGAAATACATTCCTGATCAGACATCCTAGTCCACATTGTTTTTGAAGGTGTCTTTAGAAACTATCTACACACAGCTCCTGATGTTTGGGAGCTTTCTGCCTCCCAACATGGGTTTTTGTTTTAGTTACCAACAGCCTTGCTAAGATTTCTTCTCCAGGAATTTGCCTCAATGTTGTTGTTTTTTAATGCCATCTAAACAAGGTCCATTATCTTACAACGGTGAATCTTATCAGGTATGTATTGTGCTAAGAAGTTGCCTACTCTTGGTCTGTCCGGAATTACTGCCTTTTGGCTTTATTTAAATTCTAGCGTTATTGGAAAGATGAAATATAAGACAGCGAAACAGATAAAGCTGTTGGTTTATTCTGACCAGCTGCTGTAGGTATGAAGGTAATGTGAGCTTTAGATATTTGTGCAGTTTGCATATTCTTACACACATGGAAATTAGCCTGATGGAGGGATGTATCAATTCTGCCTCATCAATATCTTGTTCAAAGGTGCCCTTGTGTGGTAAAGGTTGGTAATGTGAGGGGAAACTTCAGTCACCTCAGTGTGGTAAAAGGTTGAGGCTGTGTTTGGATGTAACACTGGACTGTGGTGTAGTGACTGGGGCTCAGGCTTGGCTACTCTTCCCCTTCTTCCTTTTCCAGCATGGCTAGGTGGAAACTGGAAGCTTTCGCTTCTGTGTTTAGCTGCAGCTTAGCATTATGTCCAAACCTGGGCAAGCCAAGGCTAGTCAGCTATGGCTTACTTCAGCCTTTATCACCCTGGTGCCCTACAGAACTTTTGGATGACAACTCCCATCATCTCATACTACTGGCTATGCTGACTAGGCATGATTGGAATTGTAGTTCAGAACATCTGAAACAAGCAAATTTCAAAACTGTAGTCTTTGAAGCTGGCATGTTGTTTTGTTTTTAAAAAAACAGAATTAAAATTAATCATAGTGTCTGGACACAACACTAAACTATGGTTCGTTTAAAATGGAAGTGATAGTTGGAAGAAGATTGGAAGAAACTTAAAATATATTTACAAAAACATTGCAAAATCAATGAATGTTAGAAGGATGCTGGAATGAAGCTATATGGTTTTAGCAGAAATGTAATAAAGAATTAAGTAAAAGCTGATTGATAATGGGCTAAAATGAAAAAATTTAAGGTTAGACCGTTAAGATAAATTATAGAACAAAAATTGAGAAAGATGGAAAGAATTTGCTGAAATAGTGAATTGAACTAGAATACAAAAAAGGGAGGTGTGAGGAGGTCGATGAAACAAGTAAATGAAAGGTAAAGATATGGAATATTGGATGTGTTTTAGTGGGGTTTTTTGTTGTTTTTTTTGCTGCATTGTTGTATTTTTTTATGTCTTTCTTTTTATCTATTGTAATGTATGTTTTGTTAAATTTCTTATTATTTTCCTCTTCTCTTTTTTCTGTAATCTTTAATCTTCTAATAAATATCATTTAAAAAAAATGGAAGTGACAGCTCATAGCCACACTGAAGAGAAGCAGAAAGGGCACAAGCCTAAGGTTCTTGCACACAAACACTTAGCCAGCTGTGCTGTTAGTGTTGCATGTGAAGCAGGCCAGATTCCTGCTGTGTGGAGGTGTGTTCTGGTAAAATGTTCACTTTCTGCAATGGATGTGGTACAGTGGTACCTCGGTTCTCAAATGAAATCTGTTCTGGAAGCCTATTCGGCTTCCGAAATGTTCAAAACCCAAGGTGCGGCTTCCCATTGGTTGTAATAGCTTCTTGCACTCAGCAGAAGCCGCGTCGCACGTTCGGGTTCCAAAAAATGTTCGAAAACAGAAGTATTTACTTCTGGGTTTTCAGCGTTTGGGAGCTGAAATGTACGGTAACGGAGGCACTTGGGAACCGAGGTTCCACTGTAAGCTGACTCTCCACACCAGGATTTATAAGAAGGATCAGCCCAACTGAAGCATATGCAAAGTCTCCTTTCTGATAGTCCAGGTTCTAACTAGACTTTTCTTGCTTCTTTCAGAGAGATGCTCGAGCAAAGACTCCACAGATGCCAAATCTACCAAACGGCCAAATTCAGGATTCGGAAACTACCCCTCTTCTGCAAAAGGACTCAAGCACAGTTCACTCCAGCATTTTTCCTGATACCTGATACCTCTGTTCCTCTTTGCCAAGGATCCTTAATGAGCTATTAGCAATATATGTGGCCTGGGTGTGGGTGGGCCCAGCAGAACAAACTCAGGTGTATTTGCACTGACTCTGGAAGAGTGATAGGTGCACGTGGTTCTTCTCTTCTTACACTACAGTAGCTTTCCAGAAAGCTGACCCTTTTGAAAAAGTAAAGGTGGTTATCTCCATGCCCTGAGATTTTAGTGCCTTCACTCCCACAGCACCACCTTCCCATTACAACCTGCCAAAAGTTTCATGTAAGAATTAAAATTGGGTGGGTTTGGAGAGCAGGGTGGAATTTGCATCTGTGGAAGCTACATAGGCAAGATGTCAGAGTCTCTCCCTGATTTTATCCTGAGCACAACGCCTTGCACTCCACAAGCAATTAAATGCTGTTGTCATTTTTGTATGTTTAAACCCAGCTGGAAACATGATGCATCCTTCCTTGCTCATGTGCGCACAAATGACACTTGGTTTTCAATGCACAGCATTACAGGAGAAGCACTCGGTTCTTCTCCACATCAGGGTTGCTGAGGGTTGTAACAACACGGTGCTAATTTTGGGGTGACGGAAGGGAAAGTGCCTTTATCTTGAGATTATTCTGGGAACCAGACTGGCACAGTATCCTTGACTTAGCTCACCACCACCAAAGTGTTTCCAGTTTCAGACTTCTAAGACTTTCCACCTTATCCCAGCTTTGCTACTGGAAAGGACCTGTTTTTAACAACTGTTGCCAAACACCATTTCATTCTATTTCCCATGCCATAGTATACAGAGAATATTCCAGATGTGTGTCTTTTTTCAAGAGAAAAATTAAAGTACTCTGAGTCTTTCATTAAGGTCTTTCATTCTTAGTGTGTCAATGCAGGGTTGTGAAGAGGGGAAGAGGGAGAGAAGCATTTTAGTGTTGGCCTGTCAAAACAGTCTTAGCGTGTGTGGTGGGGGTAATAATAATAATAATAATAATAATAATAATAATAATTTATTATTTGTACCCCGCCCATCTGGCTGGGTTTCCCCAGCCACTCTGGGCAGCTTCCAACAAAGACAAAAAATACAGTAAAATATCACAGATTAAAAACTTCCCTGAACAGGGCTGCCTTAAGATGTCTTCTAAATGTCAGGTAGTTATTTATCGCTTTGACATCTGATGGGAGGGCGTTCCACAGGGCGGGCGCCACTACCGAGAAGGCCCTCTGCCTGGTTCCCTGTAGCTTTGCTTCTCGCAATGAGGGAACCACCAGAAGGCCCTCGGCGCTGGACCTCAGCGTCCGGGCAGAACGATGGGGGTGGAGACGCTCCTTCAGGTATATTGGGCCGAGGCCGTTTAGGGCTTTAAAGGTCAACACCAGCACTTTGAATTGTGCTCGGAAATGTACTGGGAGCCAATGTAGGTCTTTCAAGACCGGTGTTATGTGGTCTCGGCAGCCGCCCCCAGTCACCAGTCTAGCTGCCGCATTCTGGATTAGTTGTAGTTTCCGAGTCACCTTCAAAGGTAGCCCCACGTAGAGCGCATTGCAGTAGTCCAAGCGGGAGATAACTAGAGCATGCACCACTCTGGCGAGACAGTCCGCAGGCAGGTAGGGTCTCAGCCTGCGTACCAGGTGGAGTTGGTAGACAGCTGCCCTGGATACAGAATTGACCTGCGCCTCCATGGACAGCTGTGAGTCCAAAATGACTCCCAGGCTGCGCACCTGGTCCTTTAGGGGCACAGTTACCCTATTCAGGACCAGGGAGTCCTCCACACCAGCCCGCCCCCTGTCCCCCAAAAACAGTACTTCTGTTTTGTCAGGATTCAACTTCAATCCATTAGCTGCCATCCATCCTCCAACCGCCACCAGGCACTCACACAGGACCTTCACCGCCTTCACTGGTTCTGATTTGAAAGAGAGGTAGAGCTGGGTATCATCTGCATATTGATGGACACCCAGTCCAAACCCCCTGATGATCTCTCCCAGCGGCTTCATATAGATGTTAAATAGCATGGGGGAGAGGACGGAACCCTGAGGCACCCCACAAGTGAGGGCCCAGGGGTCTGAACACTCATCCCCCACCACCACTTTCTGAACACGGCCCAGGAGGAAGGAGCGAAACCACTGTATAACAGTGCCCCCAGCTCCCAGCCCCTCTAGACGGTCCAGAAGGATGTTATGGTCGATTGTATCAAAGGCCGCTGAGAGATCCAGCAGAACCAGGAAACAACTCTCACCTTTGTCCCTAGCCCGCCAGAGATCATCAACCAGCGCGACCAAGGCAGTTTCAGTCCCATGGTGAGGCCTGAATCCCGATTGGAAGGGATCCAAATGGTCCGCATCCTCCAGGCGTGCCTGGAGTTGTTCAGCAACCACACGCTCAATCACCTTGCCCAAGAATCGAAGATTTGAGACTGGGCGATAGTTGGCCATACTGGCCGGGTCTAAAGATGGTTTCTTAAGAAGCGGTTTAATGACCGCCTCTTTCAGCGGATCTGGGAATGTTCCCTCACAGAGGGAAGCATTCACCACCCCGCAGAGCCCATCGCCCAGCCCTTCCCGGCTTGCTTTTATTAGCCAGGATGGGCAAGGATCAAGGAGACAGGTGGTTGGTTTCACGCGTCCAAGCAGCCTGTCCACATCCTCGGGGGTAACGGATTGAAATTGATTCCATGCAACTTGACCAGACAGAGCTCTAGCACTCTCCCGCCCCAGCCCTGCTCCCACGGTGGTGTCTAGCTCCTTTCGAATATGAGTGATTTTATCTGCAAAAAACTTTGCAAAATCGTTGCAGGAGATCTTGGGGTCTTTACAAGGCCCCGGTGGTAAAGGTGGTTCCGTTAAATTGCGAACCACCTGAAAGAGTCTCCTGCTACTATTTTCTGCAGATGTAATAGAGGCGGTGAAGAAAGTCTTCTTCGCCGTCGCTATCGCCACTTGGTAGGCTCGACGTTGAGCTCTAACCTGTGTCCGGTCAGATTCGGAGTGAGTTTTCTGCCACCGACGCTCTAGCCGTCTCAGCGATTGCTTCATCGCCCTCAGCTCCGAAGAAAACCACGGGGCTGTCCGGACTCCATGCAATCGGAGAGGGCGCTTCGGAGCCAGACAGTCGATAGCCCTGGTTAACTCCGCATTCCAGCGGGCCACCAGGGAATCAGCTGAAAGGCCATCAACATGGGCTAAAGCGTCACCTACCACTCTCTGGAAACCATTTGGATCCATTAAGTGGCGGGGCGGACCATCCGAATTGGTCCCACCTCCCTGCAGAGGGGAAGGGTCACGGAGAAGTCCAGTTGCACCAGGAAGTGATCTGACCATGACACTTCTTTTGTTTCACTTTTACTTAGTGTCAGATCACCCACGTCACTAGAGGTGAACACCAGGTCTAAGGCATGTCCATGACTATGAGTTGGGCCAAACTTATTCAGGGACAGCCCCACGGAGGCCATGCTTTCCACGAAGTCCCGAGCGGCCCCTTGTAAGGTCGTGTCGGCATGGATGTTAAAATCCCCTAGGACAACCAGACTAGGTGTCTCCAGGAGAAAATCTGCCACGACCTGAAGCAGCTCGGACAGGGAATCCTTGGTGCAGCGGGGAGGTCGGTACACCAAAAGGAATCCTGTACTGCCCCTATTGCCCAACTTCCAGAACATGCACTCAGAGAACTGGATCTTCCCAGTAGGATGCCTGGTGCAAGCTAGTGACTTCCTAAAAATCACTGCAACCCCCCCCTCCCCGCCCACATGACCTGGGTTGCTGTGCGTAAGAGAAACCTGGTGGGCAAGCAGCGGCAAGGACAGGCCCATCTGCTTCCTCCAACCAGGTCTCTGTCACACATGCCAGGTCCAATCCTCCATCCACAATCAGGTCGTGGATGGCAGTGGTTTTATTCATCATTGACCTGGCATTGCACAGCAACACTTTCAGGTCATGTGGGTTTCCCCTGTTGATTCCAGTATCCATCTGGTCAAGGCCAGACCCGGAGGCAGGGATAGTCTTCAAACAACGACTAAACCTGCCTCCTCGGTAATGACATGGTCTGGGCTTAGCGTAACTCCACCTCCTGCCCATGATCACCGAGATCGGATGTCCCAGTGCTTCCCCCCCTGTGGACTCCCAGGCAGCCCTGATCCCGCCCCTTAAAAACAAAACACAAACTATACAGAACCAATAAAACAACAACAACAAAAAGGTACAGAACAATTATACTAAAATTAATCCCCAACCAAATATCCATCCCACCCACCCACCCCCAACAAAGGAAAAAAGGAAAAAGGAAAAAAAATTTAAATTGCCACCGACTGCTTGAGGACATTTTAAAGCACATTAACCACCTGGAACAGGGAAGCAATGGCAGAACACTTCCCACACTTCCCCAAAAGTTTGTTCCAAATAAGGGCCTGGGCCAGTTGGAAAAGGCCCTGGAAGGGAGCAGGCCCTGCAGTCCTCACCCAGCCGATGGGTAAGATTTCATAAATGATGAGAAATTTTTATTTGTTTGATTATTTATAGAAATGCTTATAAATCACAGTTTTGGGATGGGGAAGTGCTATACAATTATTATATATACAATTATATATATATACAAAACCTCATAAAAACTGAAATTGCATATCAAGCAGCCAACTTATTACAGGAATATTTTTTCTTATTAGTCTGCATAAGCCCTGACAGTATAGAAAAGTTTTCAGCAAATATTTAAACATTAATACAGAAAGTGCCTGCTGAATCTCCATTGGTGAAAATGTTGGGGCAAAGTGGGGGACTGCTGTGCTTGGCCTTCCGGTGGTGTTTGACTCCAGTTCCCATCGTGCCTGACTGCTGGCTACCTTGGCCAGGGCTGATGGGAGCTAGAGTCCAAGAAACGCCTGGAGGGGACCCCCACAAATTCCCCATTCCTGTGGAAGAGGATTGGGAGCGTTAGGAGTAGCACTTTAGCTCTTGGCCACTGGGCGGAGATGTTGCCACATGGTAGTTAACAAATGTTCCGTGAGGGTGCTTTAGCTACATCAGCCAGATCCCCTCCCTCCTAGTTTTAATGTCTAATCTGGGTTAAGGAAGAGTGCTGCACTTGAGAAACCTGGGCACAGTGAAAAAAGCATCATGCTGGATTTCCCCTGTGTGGCTTGAAAAGCATCCAGCCTCTGTGTGTGTGTGTGTGTGTGTGTGTGTGTGTGTGTGTGTGCGTGCGTGTGTGTGTTTTGCAGAGGAAGTCCGGTCACTTTCACCTGCTGTGGTCAACCAGCTGCTTTGAAGTCAACCTGTCTGTGAATCATTAGCCACTTAGAACATTTAAAATAATTAATTGCATATATTCTGCAAATAATTACTTGCATGCTATAGTCTGCCTTTTCTTCCAAAGACCTCAAAGTTGCATGCATGGTTCTCCTCTGCCCACAGTTTTTTCCCTCACAGCAAATCCTGTGATGTAGATTAGGCCGTGATGGGCCCAGGGTCCTGGAGGGAGCTTCCCAGGCGGACTCTGCTTTGAGCCTGGTCTCCTCTAATCCTAGTCCGCATTCCCACCATACCTTTAAAGCACTGTGAAACAGCTGCAGCCTCCCCCAAGGGATTCTGGGAGCTGTAGCTTGTTAAAGGTGATGAACATTGTTATGAGACCCCCTATTCCCTTCATAGATCTACAGTTACCAAAGTTCGTGAGAAGAGGGATTGGCTGTTAAACTACTCTGGGAATTGTAGCTCTTTGAGGGGAATAGGGATCTCCTACAATGTTTACCAAACTATAGCTCCCAGAATTCTTTGGGGGAAGTCATGACCAGGCGGATGTGGCCCTAGCCTAACACTCCCAACTAGTGTATCACACTGGGAAGATTTGAGTCTTCCAGCAGCTACACGCTTTGTAC